TATCAGCTCTGCTGACACCGTGATCTTGAACTCCTCCTCTACCCCAGAACTTTTTAGAAAATAAATTGTTAAGCCACCCAGTTTGAAGCACTTTGTAACAGCAGTCCTACTATGGTAATACTGTACGGTACACCATTAATAAGATAGGGAAAAACTTTTGTACTGTATTTATTTAGCTTATAAGATTGCTCTAAGACAAATGGATATTATCTTTTTGCAAACTGTAAAGCACTACAGAAATGTAAGTAGTTATTCATAGGATCTCTGATAAATCTAAAGGGACGCAATCTTTTTGTTAGCATTGGACATAATAATCCTTTAGACAGAAATTCAGTACCATTAGGGAGATGGGGAGAAGGAAATTTCTGTGGGACTGCAATAAAGAATACAAATTATTTGTAGTGAAAGAAGTGATGAAATATGAGAATGGTTCTTTATATACATGGAAATTGTTAGGCAAGTGTTTAGGTATAATAACAACATCTAATTTGTACTAAGCATTTATTAAATATCAAGCATGGTGCCAAGTAATTTTTACTATGATGCTTGGGATTGAACTCAGGACCTCATGGATGCTAGGGATATCCTTGGTCCTTTTTATTCTGAGACAAGTTCTCAACAAGTTGCCAGGCCAGGCTCAAACATGAGATCTTCCTGCCTCAGCCTCTGGAGTAGCTGAGATTACAGACTTACAGGCATCTGCCACTGTACCTGGTGCCAACTACATTTTATATGTATTCTGTAATGAAGCCTTGTATTAACTCTATGGTAGAAGTGCTGTAGGTACGTGTGTGTGTGTGTGTGTGTGTGTGTGTGTGTGTGTATGGGTATGCTTAAATAAATATATATATATATGTATTTTCAACTCTTCTGTTACATGTATCTTTAATGTGACAATTTGTTCATATGCAGTAGAAAAAGATTAATAAAAATGCCAAAATATGAAGTTTATTTTCCAAGAGATGACTATAGTTTGCCTTTCTGTGGAATACTAACAATACTATGGAATGAACACACACCTACACTATTTTCTTACTCTTACCTCATTGCACACACATATATTACCGTAAGAATGTGTCCACTGTTCTTCTGAGGTACGACAGAAGAAATAAAAGATAAGTAAAAAGGAGATAAAGTAATAATAATTTTAAAAATTGTACTTTTAAGACTTCCATGACCCAGTCAAAGTCACCCAAGGTAATTGCTACCAGGATTCCCTTGGTTAAATTTAGGCTCTTTCCTTCTAGACCATCACATCCAAAATTCTGAAGGAATACTTAAAAGTCCTTAAACTGACTTAACTGAGAAAGTAAAGAGCAGAAACCTGATCCTAAGGTAAAGGAACAAGATGAAAGAATTCCAAGAATACTTAAATTATCCATCTTTAAACAAAACAAAACAAAACAAAACTGGGTTCATACCTATAATATGGACCAGTATCCTTTGCGGGGGGCACCTTTCCCTGGGGTTTTCACCCACCCAAGAGGAGAATAAATGTTTCCCCATTCCAGGAAATAAGATGCACACCCTGTTTCTTTGAGTGTGTACCTTTTAATTTCTGCCAAATACAACCTTTCCCGTGCCTCTTACTGACTAGTCCTGAAAATTCTTTTTCTGTGACAGGAATCAGAGAACCTGCAACCTCAGTTTATGAGCAGGGTGGGTTAGGTTCCCATCTCAGCTTCGGGAACTTCCTTGAACCCTGTCTGGTGACACTTCTATTTTGTGTTTCTTTCATGACAAGCCTATTGAACACATTAGCTCACACCTGTGTAAGGATCCTGCTTTTAAGAATTTCAGGTAGTGAATAAAAAGAAAAGCCTTATGTTTTAAAGAGAAAATTGAGAAAGTAAAATATTTTCAAATAAATGAGAACATTTTTAGGCCTGAAGTAATCCACATAGCCCACATTTAGGAACAAAGCTAAGAAAACAAAAGACAGGAGAGCTTGTGCATAGTAGTTATTTGTGTTTAGTGGAACTGAAAAGCACCAGACACTTGGAAGAGAATAAAGCAACTCTAATGCTGAGTAATGGGGATGCAGTTGGGTAGCATTTTATGGCCTCCCAGCTCATTAGAAGCCAAATTGATTTTTTTTTTTTTTATGAAAGGAGGAAACTGGCAGAATAAAGTGAGATTTCTATTATAAGTCAGTTTTGAAGAAAAACAGAACAATAAATGACAGTAATCCACCTCGAGTGTCATAGTATTTTAGCTTAAGAATGATTATGATTTTTCTTTTACCTCTTCTCTGTAATTCAAAAACCGCAACACTTTACCACATCCATTTCCAGCAATGGATGTTTGCAGCATGAGTGTCTACCACGGAAAATAATTAACTTATTTCCTTCCAAGTAAAGTCTACAAGAAAAATGTAAAATTTTATAAGCAAAAGCTAAATTAAAAGGTAATCTAACCACGAAAAAGTGGAGGAACATATATGTTAATTAGTTCAATTTAGCCTTTTACGGTGTATACATATTCCAAAGCATGTACATGATAATATATACAATTTTTATTTACCATTTTAAAAAAACAAAATACCCTTCTATTTGCAAAAATAAAAACTCTGTGGATATAAAGAAGACATATGATAAACTTCACTGTAATAATGAAAAGATTCTTAACATAATGTATAAAAAGCTCTTAGAAATCCAGAAGGAAAACCCATAAATGTTCCAATAAGAAATGGGCAAAGGATACAAAAAGTTAATACAGGAGGAAACCACTTAACTTCATGCTATGTGCGATATTGTGTTTTTAATACAAACAATGTTAATGTACAGTTTTTTTTTCTAAATGAAACCTCCATATTCAGGTTTAACTCCAGTGTTGGCACTTTGTGATAAATAATTTGATTTTGGGTTGCAGTTTGGCACTTGGTTTCTAAAAGGTTCGCCATTACTGCAATAAAATAATACAGTACAAAATTATGTATCATTTTAACCTATTGTATTGGCAAAAGTATTTTTATTTTTGTTGTCAGTTTTTTTTGTTTGTTTGTTTTTTGTTTTTTGAGACAAGGTCTCACTATGCAGCCCAGGCTGGCCTCGAACTCACGGCAATCCTCTGGGCTCAGCCTCCTGAGTGCTGGGATCACAGGTGTGTGCCACCATGCCTGGCCAGCAAAAGTATTTTTAAAAAAGATTTTTAAGAATGAGTTCAGGGGACCGGGATTTAGCTCAGTGGTGCTACCACCTGCGCATCAAGCACAAGATCCAAAGTTCGATTCCTGGTACCAAAAAAATGAGTTCAGTAATTTTCTCTTGCAAAATTTATTTAAAGGAAATAATGAGACTAGAGATCAAAGCCATATGTGCAAGTAGATTCATTACATATGTGTAGATTCATTACATATTATACAAGAAAAACTTGTGTAAATATTTTAATAAAAATTTATTGAGACATCATGAGATTAATACAAGTTACCTTTGGCCTTTACAATTACAAGAAGTGTTCAAAGTGGTAATTAGTTTCCAGACATTTATTAGTATGGTGAACTATTATTTGGGTAACCTTGGTCATTGAGATTGCTGCATGTGCATTTTCAATTTCTTCTCTAAGGGCTGGCAGTGTAGTGGGTTTTCTGCAATATACAACATTCTCTAGGGTTCCCCATATGAGGGTATCACCATTTGTTGAAAAAACATCATATTATTTTTCTTTTCCTGAAATGTATATATATTTTTTTGGTGGACTCTCTATATAAAGTTGCTTGGTGACATTTTAAGAATCCAGGCACCTTGACCTTAGCAGATCCATTCCACAGTGGATCCCAACCTCTAAGTTGAGTTGGAATTATTTGATATGAGATTTGGTTATCAAGACACTTTTTCATTTATTTATTTTGGGGGGTTTTTTAATTTTTAAAAATTAGTACACGTTTGCAGTTCATGCTGTTTACAATCATCTTAGGGAGTGGTTACATATACATACCACAGTTTGTTTCTTTTTTAAAAAATCTCCTTCTCCTTCCCTTTTTCTCCCTCCCACCCCCTCCAATTTCTCTATCCCATTTTTCATTCTTGTTGATATTAGTAATCTTAGCTTATGTTATGGCATATAATGTTTACATTAATTGAGGACATTAGGTTGCTGCACATCTCTATTCTACTTGCTTCCCCTTGGCCTCCTCCCCCTTGACTCTTTTTCCCTTGGACTACTTTTCTATTTCAAGAGATCCATCTCCTTGTCTCTTTCTATCTATCCTGTATTATTCTCTTTGTACCTTGCCTCACTCAAATGAGATACCATATGGTATTTAAGCCTGTGTGTCTGGTTTATTTCACTCAAAATTATATTTTCCAGGTGCTTCCATGTTCCTACAAATGTCTCAAATCTGTCATTCTTCATAGTAGAATAGTATTCCAGTATATATAGATACCGCATTTTCTTTATTCAGTCATGGGTTGATGGGCACATAGGCTATTTCCAGGATTTTGCTATTACAAGTTGCCAAGACATTTATTTAAATGAATCCTAATATTGACTTTGCCGTTGAAAAGATTCTAATTCTGGTTAAATATCAGCCTGGATCTAAACCATGCAAAGTGAATGCACAATTAGCAAACCTTATGGGTGTATTTTGTTCAACTCTGTATATTCCTACAACTCAACAATTACAAAAGAAAGGGCTTGTGGGTCAGAAAATGGTTATGACTGAAGAGCTGGCGTTAAAACCATGAACTGAAAAAGCCTTGCAAACCTCGTCAACGTCTCACTAAGGTCCCCGAACGCCATTTTAAGAATTGGCTCCCACACTAGCTGAGAAGGGAAAACGCTGAGATTCCGTCTAGGATTTCAAGCCAATGGTTACGCTTCTGCTCTCCCTAGCAACTCCTGGCCAATGGGCGGAGGTCTATCTTTTGATCCACTACTGTTCCTTTTCAGCCAATCGGAAACTTTCTTTAAATGGATTGCGATGCCCAGTACAGGGAAGGTGGCTTCATTTCCGGGCCCCAGTCTGGGTGGCTACGACTGTTGCCATAGCGACCATTTTACGTTAACTGGTTTGTAGTTTTATCCAGGTGGCTGTGCGACACTGGGGGAACTCTTCTCCCATTCCCTCTTGGCTCTTTGCGGCAGAAAGGTCTTGGCAAGCTCCGGGAGTCTGGCCTAGTAATCTGTGCCCGGTGGGGGCGGGATGGCTGCGGAAGACGAGGACGAGGTGGAATGGGTGGTGGAGAGCATCGCGGGGTTCCTGCGAGGTCCTGACTGGTACATCCCCATCTTGGACTTTGTGGAGCGGAAATGTGAAGGTAAAAACCAGAGTCCAAACTGACGATCTCTCCTGGCGTTTCTCAAACCAGCGGTCTTCAGGAAGAAGGTCTTTAGAAACTCTTGTCTCCTCCGTCTCCATCCCTGCGGGCCGGGCAGGTTTAGAGCTAGTTATGCGGGAGGAATTGTATTCACTCCACGATGGCTCCCTTCGCAGATCTGAAAATGAGGACAAACCCCGCACCCCCACTCCCCGACCCCGGCTCCAGGGACTAAAAATTTTAGACTTTAATCTTGTGTCCATTCTTTCACAGCATCCCGTACATTTTTGCCCTTGGCAGGTGGACTGTTTAGTTGGGCCTCTTCAGCAGCTTCCTCAGTCACTTGAGAGGAGAAACGGAAGTTTCCCTCTCAGTTCCTTCTGATTCTTAGCATTTCACCCTATGGAGTCAGTCTAGGAAATGAAAAATGATCAACCCCTGTCGACATTGACATACAGAGGAGAGAGATGTGATTACTGCAGCGGGACCAGGGCCAGTAGTCTCAGTGGCCTGTATTCCCCTTAACTCTTACCTGTACCGTTCCTTCTAACAAATGAGACTTACGGATGTGCTAGGCCTTCAGATCAGTTCACACTTGGGAGTTCTGAATTCAATTCTTGCAGACAAATTGGTCTCCATTCACAGAAAAGGAACCAAAAGCTGTCATATAAACTGGTGTCCAATCATTATCTTGGTTATTTAGCTGGGCAAAACTTGGAGGGTAGTAATATCCCCAATCGTTTGTCTTATGCTGGAGGAATTAGACCTGTTTTTAAGGATCAGTGGAATAGGACCAGGGTTAATGGGTACAAGGTGAAGGGAAACAAATTTTAGTGGAGGAAATGCTTCATAAGGGAACATAAGGAGGATGAGTTGGCCGGCCTGAAAAGGTAACGTGTTCCTCAGGCACTAGCGATGTTTGAATGGATCTGCTGTGATTTAATGGAGATAGTAGAGGAGATTCAGCTATCAAATGGTTTGTTATGCTGGATAATCTTTTAAGAGTTCTTTCAACCCTAAGATCCCATTAATTCTATAAAGGTGAAATTTCATTTGACCACTGAATTTTTTTTTGAGATGAAGAGAGGGGAAGGTCCTCACTGTCTTCTCCAGGGAATCTCCTGATCCTCCCACCTCAGCCTTTGCAGTAGCTGGGATTACAGGCAAGCACCATCACATCTGGCTTGAATCTCTATTATATTCTCATTATCAAATACTAGTTACTTAGTGTTATTTTTACCAGTAATTTTAAAGGATATTCAAAAACAAATCTTTTATTTGTAGTCTTTTAAAGATTTAAAATGTTACATTGAGACTGTAAGATACGTAGAATTCTGACCTCTTTTTAGAAGAAATTATGTCACCTATTGATGTCTTTACCTGAGACTAAATGTTGAGATAGAAAAAAAAAATTAAAGCTCATCTTTTTTATCCTCAAAAGCCAAAAGTGGATCCATTTTAGTACTAATATTCAGTACCTGATTGTGTAATTTTATAGAGAATCAAATTCTCACCTATATACATGTACTATAGTAATTTGATTTCAGAACTGAGAACAGCTTAAGTAGCTGTTGTATTGAAGGACTGTGAAGTGCTACATAGAGCAGATATAGGATAAATAGAAGTAACATGGCAGTGACACTTGAAATAACTTTATATTTCACTGTCTTGGGGTTGTCAGTGTGCTATAACTTGCATTAGATAATTTAAAGATTAATGTTATAAAACTTTGTTACATCAAGATTTACTTCAATAAATATTGAGTGTCTTTGGACCAGAAGCAAGGGATAGAAAGATGAATAACAAAATCCCATGCTTGAGAAATTTATAGTCTATAGGGGAACAACCATGTAAACAATAAAATACAAAGTATTAGGTGCTATAATAAAGGTAGGCACAGAGTGTTGTCTGCTCTGAGCTACGAGGAGGAAATCTAGCCAGCCAGGAGTTGGGAATGGGTAGCAGGTCATGGAGAATGTGACACTTGGCAGTGTCTTGAAGAATGGTTTGGAGAAAGGGGACATGGGATGGAGTAAAGGCAAAAAGCTAAGAAAAGGCTTGAATAAAGGCAAGGGGGTTTGAACCTTCACTTTGGAGATATTCCAAGTGGTTGTGGCAAAATTTAGATTTTGGAGTGATGGGAGATGAGACTTGGGATCTAATCTTTCAAAGTCTTGTTTGGCCTAAGGATTTTGTACACTTGTTGAGTTTTAAACTGAAAGTTATAGAAATCAGTTTTGCATTTTAGGATGATTGTTCTGGGGGAATGAAAAAACGCTTATGGTTTATAATTTGTGAATATGTCCTACCTAATTAGATTGTAGCTTTTACCTCTGTAGTTCTGGGGGTTGAACACCAGGACCTTTACATTGAGCCACATCCCCAGTCCTTTTTATTTTTATTTTGAGACAAGATCTCACTAAGTTACCCAGGCTGGCTTTTGAGTATTGTGATCTTCGTGCCTAAACATTCCAAAGTGCTGGAATTACAGGCATACACTACTACTACATCCAGCAGATTGTAGCTTCTTGAAGGGATATATATCTTTTTAAGCCTACATTTTTTTCACACATTGATCTATGGTAACAAAAATGGCCTGGTCACTTCCAGTAAGATTTGCATCAGCAAAGTTCCAGTATAATAAAATAATTTAGGAACTGTAGTAAAGGGATTTAACATTTAATATTAATACATTAAAAGTTTATGAAGAAATTATTGCCTTATATTATTTATTAAAAGTGACAAATTATTCTTTGTCTTAAATATGAGGTAGTTTTTTTTTAGTATTTTCTTAAAGAGAAGAAAAAGCTTGTTTACAATTAATACTTTATATATTTTATATATATTTATGTGTATATATTTTTTTAAGAAAGACCTGCAAGAATTCAAAGCTGAAGAGCTAAGTAATCAGAATGATAGATCTATTTGTAAATAGTAGGGTTTTGTATTTGTGTTAATGAAATGATTTGTTTTTTTAACACTATGTAATATTTTTCTTATAAATTTAGTTTTTGATGATGAAGAAGAAAGCAAATTGACCTATACGGAGATTCATCAGGAATACAAAGAACTAGTAAGTACTTTTTACTGATTTTTTAAAAAAGGTAATTGGATATTAATACTTGTTGCTTATCTAAATTTAAAAAATGGATTTTGTTTCATTAAAATTCTTTAATTTCAGAAATATCCAGTCTACCCTAGTATTACTACCAGTTTATCAGACTTTATGAATTATCTGAACATCTCATTTTTATGCTTTTGTATCTCTTCTACTCCAGAATCTAAGGAATGGTTTTACCACAGTTGGGGGGATCTTGTATCTGATTTTTAAATTCTATTTTTATTTGGCTAATGCCTCCAGAGAATGGTTAGTTTTTCACTGTTATCTTTGTCTTGTAAGTTTTTTTTTTTTTGGTACCAGAGATTGAACTCGGGTCCTTGAGCTTGCACAGCAGGCAGCGAAACCACTGAGCTAAATCCCCAGCCATTTCTTGTAAGTTTTTAAAAAATGCATCTGGTTAGAGAAGAGTTGTGCCACGTTGAACTTCATAATCCTGACTTATTTCTAGTAGATGAAAGAAAATTTCATGTGATTCTCTGCAAAACAAACAAAATACCCTTCTTGTTTGTTTTTGGTGAAAGACAGTATTACTTCTATGTAATATAAAATTATGTAGATTAATATTTGCAAAGCTACACTTAATTACTTTTCTTTTCTTTTTTTTTCGTACCAGGGATCAAACTCAGGACCTTGAGCTTATGAGGCAGGTGGCAGAACCACTGAGCTAAATCTCTGGCCCCTTAATTACTTTTCTAAATAAATATTTAATAGAAAAACTGTCATTTAGAATTTTTCTATCAAAATTATCAAAATTAAACTTTTTCTTTTTAGGTTGAAAAGTTGTTAGAAGGTTACCTCAAAGAAATTGGAATTAATGAAGATCAGTTTCAAGAAGCATGCACTTCTCCTCTTGCAAAGACTCGAACATCACAGGTTTTTGCTTTTGTTTTATTTTAATGTAGTTGTTATAAAAATTCCTAGGGTTTCACTTAAATTTAGTATGTTTGTGAAAGTATAATATTTTAGATACTCTGAGAAGTGAAAAAATAATTCATTATATATAGGTTCTTTTTACGACAGCTTTGACATATAATTCATAATTTGAGGCATTAATAAACCAATACAATTAAAAATGAACTTTCAGAACTATAATAAGATTGTAAGGTTTATTGAAATTACTTGTTTTATTTATATAGATCTCTGATAATTCTGTATCTGCCTTCATAGTTCTTGGGACTTCCTTCTCTTAGTTCCCTTAGAACTATTTTTATTGTCTCATTAGTTCTCCAGTATTGGGCTGAAGAAGATAATATGTGCATTTTAAACTAATGTTTTTTGAGAGCTTTTGCTACTTGATGTTTTATACCCTGGCATATATTATCTTATTCAATCATTATGTTACCTCCTAAGAAACTGATACTATTTAGCTTCCATCTATAAATGAGAAAATTAAAGCACATTGATACTAAGTAGCAGCACCAATATATCAACCCAAGCAATCCAACTGAGAGCCCTTGCTCAGAGGTTGAGGATAGGAATATGTTGCTACTACCCAAGTACTACTCTTTTCAAACACTTGCTTTGGTTCCTGTCCTCTACCAAATAAACTATAACTCCCTAGCAAGATGATTGTGATATGACCCCAAATTATATTTTCAGCCTTGATTTCCTGCTATAGTTCTGGAATACTTATGAACTGTCATTATTCTAGGCCACTCACTCTTACAAGCATTTGTATGCTTGGTTTGCTTATGCTGTCCTTTAACCTTGAATAGTGGTGGTGCGCATGCTACAGCAGGCTGTTTTTGTATCATTGAAAGCTCTAAAAGGTTTGCCATCACTGATCTAGAATGTATGTCTCCTCACCAACTCACTTTACATTCTTTCCATAACTCAAAGAACTCTCCATCTTCAGGGCCTGGCTGAAATGGTATTTCTTATGGCAGCTTTGCTGCTCCCTCTAAACAGACTGGAACTCATTGTACCTCACTAGGTACTTTTACTTAGATACTTTTGGTACTCTACTTTGATTATAGTTTCATACAAGCCCATTTGCCCCATTAGATTTTAAGTATTTTTGGTATCTTTGCATTCCTAGTTACTACTTTAGAGATAAGAGCTTAGTTTCTAGTAGGTACTTCACAGTAAATATTTGTAATTGTGGCCTGGAGGAAGTTGCTCTGACTACTGTTTAATCGAGCACTTCCTGGTACAGGTCTCTTTTGCACAACTTTCTTCTCATTTAATGACCACCTGTAACTCTAGAGATGAAAATCTTCAACATGATATTAAAAAATTAAATGTTATTGGTGTATCTAAGTAATGTAAACACTTTATTAGTTAATAATTATATAAAGCAAATGTTTTACAGTTCACCAATAGCTTTTATTAGTCTAAGAAATAATAACAGGGATGGTTTTCTTCTTTTTAGTGGGACAGGAATAATTTGATTGAAAATTACAGATGATCCTTGACTTAGTATGGATTTATGTCCTGAGAAACCCATCATAAGGTGAAAATATTGAAAGTCAAAAATGCATTTTATCCATCGAACCTACTAAACATCATACTTTAGAAACATAGACACTGTAGAGTATTGGTTATTTCCCTGTGATTGTGTGGTTGACTGGGAGCTGTGGCTTGCTGCTGCTGTCCAGCGTTGAGAAAGATTATGGTACTGTATATTGTTAGCCTATGAAAGATCAAAATTCAGAAGTCAAAGTGTTGTTTCTAGTTAATGTGTATTGCTTTTATACAATTGTAAAGTGGAAAAATCATAAGCCAGGGACTATCTGTAATAATAAATACACCCACCATCTTTTGTACGTATTATTAGGATATCTGAATTATTTGTGAATGTAGATGTTCAGAGCTTTAAAATGTTTTTTTCAGATCCAGATCAACATACTACTATACACATTCTTTGATTCTAATATACACATTTTAATTTGCTTAGAGTTGATTGGTAGAACAGTCTTGTTATGTATAAAGAAGCAAGCCTTTTGAGACAGACTTACCTTGGATCGTTTCTTTACTAGCTATAAGATGTTGAACAAAAGCTTTTATTTTATAGTTTTACCTTCTTAATCTTTTTGTTTCTCAGATTTCACAGTTGTATGTAGTTATAGTATCTATTTTTAAAGTCTTTTTGTGATGTTTAAGAAATAATGTACATAAACCATTTAACATAATACCTGCTGTACACCAGGTAGTCTATTAATAAATTAAGCACTTTGTTGTTTAATTAACACTGTGCTGATCAGGTCAGATCTTGGGTTCAGTTTCCATGTGGAGTAGTTAGCATCATTCTCTGCTAGAGTAAACTCTTAGTCACCAGACACCAGGTAGCAACATTGAATCAGTACCAGGTTATTATCATTACTGAAAAAATAGTTTGGAGCAAAGTATTTACTGCTTTGCAGCTATCTAATCTTTATTATGAAAATCAGAATGTTGATTTCAGTATGCCAACATGAGAGTTCTAAGAATGAACTCAAGAAACAAATTGCTTACCCTAGGTAATTTAGGAGGTAATTTTTGTTTTTGTTTTGTTTGAGTTGATTTAGTTTTGATTTTGTTTTTTTTTTCTTTTTCTGGTACCAGGGATTGAACTCAGGACCTTGTGTTTGCCAGGCAGGTGCAGCACCACTGAGCTACATCTCCAGCCCTGTCTCCATAATTTTGCCTTTCCAGACTGTTATTAATTCGAAACATATGGCCTGTAGTCTTTTCATACTGGCTTCTTGTACTAATCAATATGCATCTAAGTTTCTTCTGTGTTTTGTGGCTTCATAACTTATTTCTTTTTATCACACAGATTATATAGATGGACCATAGTTTTATTCTCCATCTTGGTTGCTTCCAGTTTTTGACATAACTGTTATAAATATTTGTATGCAGGCTTTTGTGTGGACACAAAAGTTCTCAACTTGTGCAGGGAATGGTTGTGCTCACCTATAATCTCAGCAGTCCAGGTAGCTGAGGCATGAGGATTGTAAGTTTGAGCTCCATCTGGCAATTTAGCAACTTAATGAGACCCTGTCTCAAAACAAAACAAAAACAAAAACCAAAACCAAGAAAATAAAAAAATAAACCACCAACCAACCAAACAAAAAGGAAAAAAAAAAAAAGCCTGTAGTCCTGGGTTCAATCTTTAGCACTGAAAAAAAAAGTTTTCAGCGCATGTGGATAAGCATCTATAAGTGTATTGCTAGATCATGTGGTAAGAAAAAGTTTGTAAGAAACTGCCAAATTGTCTTCTAAAATGTACCATTTTTAGTTTTTTTCCAGCAATGCCTGGGAGTTCCAGTTTTGCCATGTACTTGTCAATACTTGATATTGTCAGATTTTTTTATTTAATCATCTTGTTAGGTGTATAGTGGTATCCTGTTTTGATCATTTTTTAATTAAGTTACTCTCTAACTTTTGAATTTCAAGATTCTTTGCATAAGTATTTTACAAAGGACTGATCAAAAAATACAGTGTGTAAACAGAAAACATTATTACAAGTAAAAGACACACTGCCATTAATTCCCCTCAAAATACTTCTTCTTGCTTCAAAACACTGTCTTAGTTACTTTCTTATCATTGAGACACAAAACCCAACACTCACAATTTAAAGGAGGAAAGGTTTATTTTGGCTCATGGTTTGTAGAGGTTTCAGTCATAATCAGCTGGCTCCAAGGCAGGGCCTCTTGGGAGAGGGACATGGCTGAGGAGAAACGGCTCATGGCATGGCAGTGGGAAGCAGAGAGTGATCAAGGGAGGAGTGAGGGAGATAGACCCTTCCAGGCTACACTACCCATCATCCACTTCCTCTGATCAGGATTCACTTCTCAGCATTACATTTAGCTGTAAACTCATCAGTAGCTTAATCCACTGATAAATATCATGCCCCCATGATCCATTCACACCTAAAAGTGCACGAGGCTTTGGGAGGACGTTCTGGTGTAAACCGTAACACACACTCCATCATTCTTGCCACTTTATGAAGCAGTTCTGGAAGTCCTCTTTTGTGAGTGTCGTTATAAGATGTGATCCAAAATATGGTGAATGCTGCTGCCAAGTGCCATCCGATAGAAGGTCAGCCTTATGAAAACATTATGGTGTGTCCTGACACTGTGAGACTTCTGGCTCTTACCCAAAGTTGAAATAATCATGAAAAGTAAACATTTTGAATTGACTCAGGACATCAAGGCAGCCATGAGAATACAACTAAATACTGTAATGAAAGAAGACTTCTAGAACTGCTTTAGAAAGTGGCAAGAATAATGGGATAAGAAGAAAAGGGAAGTATTTTGAGGGGGATGGCAGTGTCTTTTACTGTAATTTTTATTTAAACATTCACCATGTATTTTGATCATACCTCATAGATATGTCCTTTATCAGACAAGTGTTTTGCAAATATTTTGCAAAACTTTTTTTTGATATTTATTTATTTATTTATTTATTTATTTATTTATTTATTTCCGGTAGCAGGGATTGAACTCAGGAGCTTGCGCTTGCAAGGGCAGGTGCAGCACCACTTAGCTAAATTCCTGGCTCTTTTGATACTTTTAAAAAATTCTCTTAATATCTTTCACAGTGTAGAAGGTTTTAATTTTTTTAAATTTTTTTTTGGTACTGAAGATCGAACTCAGAACTTTGCACTTACAAGGCAGGCGCCGGAACCACTGAGCTAAATCCCCAGCCCCCGAAGCTTTTGATTTTAATAAAGTCTCATTTACCAGTTTTTTTAATGGATTCTTTTGATGTTGTATCTAAGAAATTATCACCACTCCCTAGATTTTCTCCTGTTCTTCTAGAAGGTTTTTAGTTTTGAGTTTTTCATTTAAGTCTATAACTGTTTTTAAGTAAATTTTGATAACAAGATATAAGATGAATGTTTAGGTTCATTTAGCATATGGATATTCAGTTGTTCTAGCATTATTTACAGAAAAGACTCCATTCTCCATTGTATTGCCTAGCTTTCTTTGTGAGAGATTAATTGGGTATGTTTGTTTGCGTCTGTTTTTGGACTATGTTCTGTTCTATTGATCTGTTTATGTACTACATTGCCAGTACCATACTATTTTGATTGTTGTAACTTTATAGTAAATTTTAATGTTGGGTAGTGTTAGTCCTCTGACTTTGTTCTTCAGTGTTGTGTGACTGTTCTCAGTCTTTTTGCCTTTCCGTGTATGTTTTAGAATCAGCTTATCAATATCCACAGAGTAACCTGGTGGTATTTTTATTCGGATTTCATGAATCTGTAGAGCAAGTTGGGAAGACATGTTAACAGTGTCAAGTCTTAACTATGAATATGGAATTTCTTTCCATTTATTTAGATCATCATTAACTTCTTAAAATTAGAGGTTTTTAGTTTTCCTCATAGATTTTAGTGTACTTTGTTAGACCTTTTCCAAAGTAGTTTTTTTTTTGATGTTAATATAAATGGTATTGTATTTTTAATTTCAAATTTCAATTGTTCATTGTGGTACATAGGAAAGTGGTTTATTTTGAAATGGGAATCTTGTATCCTGCCTCCTTACTATAATTATTTGTATGTTCTAGAAGTTTAAAAAGTTTTTTTTCTTTTGGCTTTTTCTAGTTATGTCATCTGTGAACAAAACTGATTTTGTTTCTTCTCAATTGGTGTCCATTTTATTACCTTTTCTTACTGCAACAGCTAGGATTTTCAGTACAATGTTCAATGGAACTAGTGAGAGGAGACATCTTTGCTTTGATGTAAAATTTGTTTTTACTTTTAATTTTTTACTTACTAGGGAGTGGAACGCAGGTCCATGGGCATGAGAGGCACACACTCTACCACTGAGCCTACACCCTAGTTCTTTTTATTTTTTATTTTCAGAGAGGGCCTTCCTAAGTTGTCCAGGCTAGCTTCAAACTTGGAATTCTTCTGCCTCAGCCTCACCAATAGCTGGGATTATTGGCATGTGTCATTATACCTGGCCCTTGCCCTTATTTTTTATCTTGGTGAGAAAATGTAGTTTCTTACCATTAAGTATGACATTAGGCCCGAAGCTGGGACTACTTCCTCTATGTCTTCTAGGGCTAGTGTGAGCACTCTACAGCAGCTCAAGCTGGAGGCCTGCATGGAGAGGATCAATGCTTCAGCAGTACTGCATACAGAATGCCAGTTAGGATGCCTTGCTGGTCTGTGTTCCAGCAAGAAGCAACCCTCCTAGAAGCCCAGATCCTTTGCTTTACTCTGAAGACTGTAGGGAGGAAGTTCATTTAGCAATGCCTTCAAGCACAAAGTGATGAATGATGGCCTCCAAGCCTCAAGAAAACAGTTTTCTCTTTCCAAATGACTTTTAGATATTTCAGATCTTTTCCTGTGGTCTAGTCTTATGGCCAGAATTCTAAAGAAACAAATCATTTTCTACTGAAAGAAAATGAGTTAAGGAGTAAGGTTTTAAATAATAATAATAATGGCTTACTTGGTTCTTTTGCTGAAGTGCTTTATGCAAGGACAAACAAAAACCTTACCACCAAATATACCAGAATATACCACTTTCACAAGTGAATTACTGGTGTTGCTATTCCTGGAACATCATGTATGTTTTATTTACAGAATTTTACATTTTATGAAGGAAAACTTTTTTTTTTTTTGGTACTGGGGATCGAACCTCAGGTCCTTGTGCTTGCGCAGCAGGCGGTGAAACCAGTGCCCTAAATCCCTGGCCTGAAAACATTTTTTTTAATTAAAAAACTGAAGTTGGGTGGGGTGGTGCATGTCTATAATCTCAGCACTCTGGGAGACTGAGGCAGAAGAATTCAAAGTCTGAATCAAGTCTGGGCAGCTTAGCAACTTAGTGAGACACTGTCTCCAAAGGAAAAAAAGGAAAAAAGCAGCAGAAGAAGGGGCGGGGGCGGGGGCTAGAAGTGTAGCTCACTGTGAAGGCCCTGAGTTCAATCTTCAGTACCACAAAAACAAAACAAGACAGCTCCAAACAAAAAAACAAACAATTGAATGTTTTGGCTGAAAATAAAACCAGATACCACTGTGGTAACTTTAAAAATATAAGGCAGATTTCTGTATTGTTTTTCAGTGTCATTTAGTGCTGGCTCATTTGGAAAAATATATCACTATCAAATGTAGCTTACTGGAGGCATGGGAATTTAGAAAGTCAGTCTCTTGAAAATCCTATTTTAAAAGCCTATTGGGCCGGGGATTTAGCTCAGTGGTTTCGCCATCTGCTGTGCAAGCACAAGGACCCGAGTTCGATCCCCGGTACCAAAAAAAACAAAAAACAAAAAAGCCTATTAAAGGCTTTTATAAAAGATGGATAATAGGAAACAGGGAGACAGATATTTTGCAAATAGGAAAGGGACGAAAAGGGACATACAGAGAATTAAGATGTGTTATGTACATGCACCAACTCCCCAATGAATGTAATCATTAAGTACTGCAAACGTACCAATAAAAATAAAAAATGAAATAAAAATTTAAAATTGTCAGAGTCACTTAGTCATAAATCATGATGTAATGTTCTTGAATTAATGTGCTGTTTTGTGGTATGGGATATAATTTTAAAACTTGGATCTTCATTTAACCTCCAGATTTCTTTCCACAGGCCATTTTGCAACCTGTGTTGGCAGCAGAAGATTTTACTATCTTTAAAACAATGATGGTCCAGAAAAACATTGAAATGCAGCTGCAAGCCATTAAAATAATTCAAGAGAGAAATGGTAAAATTTTGAAGTTTGAAATCTAAGTTTTAAATTCATTTTTTTTTCATTTTTGCTGGTTCTCATTATAATATGGTCTTAGATGTAGCTGCTTTGTATAAATTTATTTCAAGTTTGAAAATTTTTGGTTAATGCAAGAGATTTTACGTGTGTAAACTTTCTGGTCAGTGTGTATTTAACATCTCAAAGAGAACAGACCACAATTTGATTTTATGATGTTTTAGATTTTATAGAGCTTGGTTTTTTTACTCAGCCATTGTATTTATGAAATTTAGTATTTTTGAGTGGTTTAGTTACTGCTGAGAGAAGGTACCTATTCTCCTGGCTTATTATTGTTAACACCTTAGTAAGAGATAATGGTTCCCAAGCTTTTGTGTGCATTGGAATCAATTTGGAGGGTTGTTGAAACACACAGCAAGCTCCCCATGTCTTAACTCAGCAGGTCTGGGCTGGGGCCTGAAGATTTGCATTTTTAACATGTCCCCAGGTGATGCTGAAGCTAGCTGGAGTTGGGACCACACTTAAAACACAAGTGTAGAAAACAGGTGGGTGTGATTATCACACCAGCATCATATGGAACAGAAAAGAGAAATAAGGCTCTAATAATCCTCCTTGGCTTCATCTTTGCCTGTCTCCATGCTCAAACTTTCTCTCTTGCTTTTTCTTTCATTTCCTTCTTGTGTGTCTGAACTGCATTAGAAATTCTGATTCACAACAGCTAAGTTGCTAACCATATTTCTTGTTATTGTACCATCTCTTATTTAAAATAGATTCTCATTTCTATTTCAGATTTGTAGCTCCACCTGGGGATATAGATCCATGTTAAGAGTTCTTGCCTAACAAGCATTAGGCCCTGGGTTCAGTCCCCAGTACCAGAAAACAAAGTAACAATGGTAAAAATAAACCCCATATTTTTGATAATTTCATTTTAATTCTTATGTATTCCTTTTGTATTGTTTTGCTCAGTAGATTGCCTCTGATATTTTTTTTGTTTGGAACCAGGGATCGAACTCAGGACCTTGTGCTTTTGACGAAGGTGCAGTGCCACTGAGCTAAATCCCTGGCCCTGTCCCTGATATTCTTTACAGTGGTTAACAACCTCTTTTTGTTTTTCCAAGTACTGGGGATTGTAGGGCCTTTGTACTGAGCTACATCCACATCCCTTTTTTAATTTTTTATTTTGAGAGAAGGTCTTGCTAAGTTGTTGAGTTGCCCAGGCTGGCCTCAAACTTGTGACTCTCCAGTGTCAGCCTCCCGGAGTACTGGGATTATAGGCATGTGCCACCATGCTTGACTATCCTCTTTAATAGTTTGGAAGCAGGACTTTTTCTTTGTTTGTTTCTTGAAGAAATGAGTCTCCAGACCCTTTATAGATGCCAGTTTTCTGGTGATATTGTACTATAATTTTGCAAGATGTTACTACTGGGGGAAACATAAAGGATATGTTGTATCTTTCTTTATTTCTTTATAACTGTGTGTGAATTTGCAATTATCTCAAAATAAAATGTTTAATTTTAACAAATGCACCTAAACATCAAGGAGATTAGAATAGTAAAGCTACTTTACTTCAGAGCACATCAATAATCCCATGTGGATAACGAAATGGAAGGTAAAAAGGAAGAGACATTCTGTTAATGTTATAGAACATAATTATTAAAGATAAGAATACAACATTTATTACCAGCTTCCCTACTTATCAAAAAGATATAATATGTTAAACCAACATTTAAAATTACTTCTTAAGAATTTTTATTTGCCTTGGGCCAATGCTGGTGCTGCTGTGGTCTATAGTTTTTAGACTAATGGTGAATAGATGCTCTAAGGTCAGAAATTGCATCATTTATCTTTATATCCTCCCAAAGTGCTTTAGCACTAGGCTTTCATTGCACATAGTGGGCAGGCCCCTTTTCAGTAACATTTGTCATAGTAGGAATGAAGAGTATTAAATGTTGTTTTGATAAAATAACATTTTATTTTGTAAATCCTTTTCCCACTTAAGGGTCACCTTGGAGAGTGTGGTCTCATTATCTACCCTAGTTCAGTGATTTCAGTGTATGGCCTCAGATACTATATGGTTATGGGAGATAGTAACATATTAATTTTATTACCATAGTTTTTTTTTTTGGTGGTGGTGGTGCTGGGTATCTAGCCCAGGACCTCCTGCATGTTAGCCTAGTGCTCCATCATTGAGCTACATCTCAGCTCCTATCATCATTTTCAATAGCCAATGCAAATAATTACTGAGAGATATTTCTAGGTAAAATTATCATTATTTTGGTAGGACTGATTCCATAAAATGAGAAAAAGTTAAAAAAGATGAGAGTTTAAAAAGATAAACTTGGAATGTTTTTTAAAGTGGTAAATAATAAACTAATTTTACTAGATGAACTGGAGTAATGAGAAATTTCAGTTGAGTTGATGTTCTTCCATGTGGTGTTTGATTTTGAACAGGTGTGTTACCTGACTGCTTAACTGATGGTTCTGATGTAGTCAGTGACCTTGAACAGGAAGAGATGAAAATCCTGAGGGAAGTTCTTAGGTACCTTTCTTTACTTGTATTTGAATGATCATTAGTAATGTTAATAATCTCACAAAGTGATCTGTATGTACATATATATATGCTTTTTATCCAGAAAATATACATTCTGTACCGAAGACCAACAAAATGAATTATCATTTTATAATTATATATTCACAGGTTGAGAATCCCTTATCCAAAATGCTTAGGGCCAGAAGTGTCTGATTTTTGATATTTTGGAATTTGGAATTTTTGCATAAACTTACTAGTTGAGCATCTCTAATCTGAAAATCCAAAATCTGCAACTTTTTTGGGGGTCATGTTGGCATACATAAAGTTTTTGGATGTTTGAGCATTTCAGATTTTCAGATTAGGAAACTTGTATTGCATTTCTTTTTTAAAAAATTATTTAAATTTTATTTTAGATTATTAGTACATGTGTATCGTACATAATGTTTACATTCCTTATAGGAATTGATACATGTACATAACTCATCTTAATTCCTTTTTTCATCCCCTTTCCCTTCCCTCCCTCTGTCCTCCACCATCCCTTCACTGGGTTCTTACTCTTTTTTTGATACACGTTGGGAGTGCATAATGTTCACATTGCTTGCGTGGAGTTGGTACATATACATAACACATCCTGATTCCTTTCTTTCATCCCTTTTCCCTCCCCACTCCCTCCATCTCTTGATCCCCTGCAAGCGCTTTGAGAAAGATCTATCTCCCTACTTCCCATTGTCTGTCTTTTTGTTTTGCTCTTTGTTTTCACTCTGGGTTTCACAGACAGAAAAAATTATTTTCAGATGACTCCTGACAGATCAGCTTAAATGAGAGCCCTCCCCCATCATAGGAGTAGGGCTCAAGTCACCAATGGAAAAAAATTCTAGTAGATCCAGCTTGATCCCTGGCAGGTTTTTTTTTTTTTATATTTCAGAAAATCAAAAGAGGAATATGACCTAGAAGAAGAAAGGAAGAGAAAAAAACAGGTGCCTATAGAACATATAAATGCAACAGAAGTATATTTCATTGCTATTATCTTTTATTAATTTTGCATCTAGTCTTTGCTGTTAGTATTTAAGTTTCTGTAGAACTACATAGTGCCTCGGTAATTATATTTTCTTGGCAAGTCTTAACATTTATATTTAATTTTTATACTTTTTAAATATAGAAAGAGTATAGAAATAATGTATACTTTATACATTCTTATAAAGAAAGGAGTTCTTGGGGATGAGGTTGGCTCAGTAACAGAGCATGTGGATAGGATGTGCGAGACCCTGGAGTCAATCCCAGCACCAAAACGAACAACCAAACACCTAAACAAAAACATTCTTTATAATTTTAGGCATTTTATAATTCATCCAGTAAGGTACCTTTTAAATTCCATGATAAAGACCAGGATCATCAACTTCAAAAACTGTGATATCATTCATATTTTGGGAGAGTTCCTTATGAAAATTTCCATTAATTTTCTGAATGAAAGAAGATTAAGAAAAACATTTTACCTTTCTATTCTCCTTGATTCCTTTACTGTGTTGAAATAGCAACAGTAGCTGCTCTGAGATCCCCTCCAGACTTTAATATAATTAGACTGAAGCAGAATAATTGAGTATCACATTTCCTGGCATTCATTTCCTCCATTAAGGTTTTTTAAAATAAAATGGAGTACTACTCAGCCATAAAAAATGAGAAATTAGAGACATTTATAGCTAAGTGGATGCACATTGAGGCGATACTCTTAAGTGAAATAAATAGGACACACATGTGTAAATACCGAATAGTTTCTCTGGTGTGAGAAACTGAAAGTGTAAATAAGGACTAAATGTATAATAGGTAATATGAAACAGGAAGAAAAGGGGCAAAGGGGAAGGAAGTGGGAGGGCTAGGGGAAGGATAGAAGGGAATGGGATTAATATGAGAAAATGGAAAAATAGGAACAAAATCTTTGTAAATAGGGAGGACTGGAGGGGTTGAAGGTAGGGCTGGGCAAGGGTGAAAAATAAGAACCAAGAGAGACTATGTAAAGGTGCAAATTCCCAATGATGAATGTCATTATATTGTATACCTAAAATGTACCAATGATTAGAATGAATAATCGATAATGTAAAATAGGAAGAAAAGGTCCAAAGGGTTAGGGGTAGTGGGAGGGGCAGGGGAAAGGAAAGAAGGGAAAGGAAAAATGATGAGAAATGGAAAAAATGGAAATAAAGTCTTTGTAAATAGGGAAGGGTGGAGGGGGTGAAGGGAGGGCTAGGAATGGGGAAAAAATAAGAACCAAGATGCATTATGTAAAGGTACAATTCCCAATGAGAAATGTAATTGTGTTGTATACTTACAAGGTACCAATAAAAGAATTTAATACAAAAAAAAAAAAAAGAACCATTTCCATAAAGTGCCTAATCTTTCCAAGGATAAATTGAGCATTTACCTGGTGGGGTGATGCAAGCTAATCTTTACTCTTTTCTGCTAATTCCCTTTCCACATTTTCCCAGTCTCCCTGAAGGGAAAAGGAAACAATATAAATTATCAGTCACTTAAAATTGTTTTCAGTTTTCTTCTCAATCATTAGGCAACATGCTTGTGTGGTTTTACTCTTTTTGAAAAATCTTTTATTCTAAGGTAACCAATGAAGAGCAGATGAAAGAGATTTATGTATCTTTCAGTAAATTTCTTTTTAGTAAAAGGAACTGAAGTTTTTAGATACTAATATTTTAAAATATAGGGTATAGAACAAAAACCAGTTCAAAATTACTGTTGGAATACCAATTTATTTTTAAACCAATTTATTTGAAAACCACTAGGTTTCTTGGATACTGTGTTTTAGGGATATGCAAATTGTTTTTTCCTTTTGAGGTATTTTTGTTATGGTAATTTTCAAACACATAAAAGTAGAGATAGTAATAATATAATGAGCTCCCATGTGTTTATCACCTCACATATAGGGGCTTATGGTTTATGTATCTGTGAGTTGCCTAATAAGCTACGTACGTTTGGATTTTCCTTTATTTTTAAGGAAAAATGAATTAACATTAGCTACTTTCTAATTTTTTTAATTAACATTTTCATCTTTGGATTTTGTAAGAGAATTAGTCAAAATTAATCTAAATTGTTTGTGTGTTTTTAAATTGTATTATGGAATCCTGAAGGTATCAGAGGCTAATACAGAAGAAGCCCTAGTGCATACTAGTGAAGCTGCGGAAATGAGTAATTCCCAAGGGTATGGTGAACATTTGGCACAGCCACCTTCAGGTAAGGTTGAGGTGTCCTGAGCTCTCCCTAATAATACGAATATGTAAACATTCTCCAGAGTTTTATACTTGATATATGTAACCTTCAAAAATCCTGGGAGGCAACATTGAATAGTTTTGGTATTTAAAATTCTTTGTGAATTTAGTTACAGAGTTTGCATGTAGGAAACACCAAGCTGAAAGTGTAGTTCCCACCTTTTTAAGTGAAGCCTAAATCTCTGAGCAGTAAGCAAAACACTTTGAAGGAGCTAACAGTTTTATGCCATTGCTGGAGCATACAAGATATGTCACATAACATTTGGTATGCTCTTACTTGCTTGTTTATATGGTGTTTGAGCAAGAAGTCAAAATTTGAGAGATGATATTAAATTACTTTTCCAGTGAATTAAAGCACAACTAGAAAATAAGATGTAGCCAGTTTGTCCAGATGTTTAGTCATTAACTGTGTCATTTTAATCAAATCTGATGAGAATCCTTTTAGAAAATGTTAGTGGATGAACTGGTTGAATATGTGGCAAACTGACCTCATTATGCTTGGATTTCTTATACTTTATAAAAAAACGAGTAATTCTGAAATAGAAATTGAATCATAGTCATGATTTCAGTTCATTTTATCCTGGATTTCTTTGGTTTTAAATAAATGTCCATTTCTCAAAAAAAACAAAAACAAAAACAAAAACAAAAAAAAACCCTGAGGATTTTTGCTCAGAAAATTAAAAAATTTATTTATTTTTATTGGTACATGTTTGCAGTACATACTAGGTTTCTTGAATACCATGTTTTAGGGATGTGAAAATTTTTTACTTCTGGTTCCATGTGAATTTTAAAATTATTTTCTCTAGTTCTGTGAGGGAATGTAATAATTATATTCCTGGTGGGGAGTTGGTACATGTACATAAAACATCTTATTTTTGTCATCCCTTTCCTAACCTCTCCCTCCTCCACCTCTTGGTCCCCTTCCCATTTGCAAAAGATTTATATCCTTTCTATTATTGGTTTTTTTTTTGTTTGTTTGTTTTTGTTTTGGTACCGGTTATTGAACTCGGGACCTTGCGCTTGCAAGGCATGGGGTGGAACTACTGAGCTAAATCCCCAGCCCTCTATTATCTTAATTTGCTCTTTATTTATATTTTGGGTTTCTCATATAAGAGAAACCATGCAACATTTAAGCTTGTGTGTCTGATTTATTTCACTTAACATTCTGATCTCAAAGTGCATCCACTTTCTTACAAATGACTCAAGTTTATCTATATGGCAGAGGAGTATTCCACTAGGTATAAATAGCACATTTTCTTTATCCATTTACCTGTTGATAAACATATAGGCTGCTTGTAAGATTTAGTAATTATGAATTGTGCTACTGTAAACATGGATATGCATGTATCATTGTAATATGATGTCATTAACTCCTTTGGGAAGATACCTAAAAGAGGAATAGCTGGGTTACATGGAATGTTTAGTTTTACTTTTTGAGGAATTGCCATACTGATTTCCATAATGATTGTATTAGTTTACATTCCCACCAACAATGTAAAAGGGTTCCTTTTTCCCTGAAGGCTTGCCAGCATTTATTATCTGATTTCTTGATGATAGCCATTAATTCTGGAATAAGATGGAATCTTAGGGTTGTTTTAATTTGCATTTCTTTAATGGCCAGAGATGTGGAACATTTTTTCATGTATTTATTGTCCATTTGTACTTCTAATAAGTGCCCATTCATTTCAGTTGTCCATTTTTTTTATTGGGTATTTTATTTTGGGAAAGTCTTAGTTTTTTTGAGTTTTTAATACATTTCAGATATTAGTTCCCTGTCTGAGGTATAATTGGCAAAAATCTTTTCACATCCTGTAGATTGTCTCAACTCTGTTGCTTGTTTCCTTTGCTGCTCAGAAACTTTAATTTGATAAAATTCCATTTGTTGATTCTTGGTATTATTTCTTGTGCATTTGGGGTTCTGATCAGGTAATCCTTGCCTATGCCTATTTTAGCAACCAGTTAATTTTTTTTGTTTTAATATTTAGATCTTTGATCAACTTTGATTTTATTTTAGTACATTGTGAGTGAAACAGATCTAGATTCAATCTTCTCCATGTAGATAACCAATTTTCCCAGTACCATTTGTAAAAGAGGTTATCTTGGGCTAGGGATGTAACTTAGTGCCTGCCTGGCAAGAGCAAGGTTCTGAGTTCAATCCCTGGTACCAAAAAGAAAAAAAAAGTTTATCTTTCTTTCAGAATATGTTTTTGGCCACTTTGTCAAAGATTAGATAGCTGAATGTGCCTAGAATTGCTTATGCATCTTGTATTCTTTTCTGTTGAACTCATGTCTGGCTGTTTTTTTTCTTCCCCCCAATTCCATGCTGTTTTTATCACTGTGGCTTTGTAGGACAACTTGAAGTTCAAAATTGTGATGCTTCCTATTTGGATTGGTTTTGCTATTTTGGGTCTCTTCTGGTTTCATATGAATTTTAAGATGATTTTCTCCAGTTCTGGGAGGGATGCTATTGGTATTTTGATTGGGATTGTGTTAAATCTGTCTATCAGTTTTGGAAGTATGGCCATTTTGACAATATTGGTTCTGCCTATCCAGGAACAGGGGATATCTTTCCATTTTCTGATGTCTTCTTCAGTCTCCTTTTTTAGAGTCCTGTAGTTTCCTCTGGGAAGTCTTTTACTTCCTTGATGAAGTTAGTTTCTAAGTATTTTATTTTTATTGACATTATTGTGACTGGTATTGCTTTTCTAATTTTTTTCTTAGTTCATCATTGGTGTACAAGAACACTATTGTTTTTTGTGTACTGATTTTGTATCCTGCTATTAAATTTGGTTATTAATTTTAGTGGATTTTTTTGGTTCTTATATGTGGAGGATCATGTCATCTTTAAATAATGATAATATGACCTCTTCCTTTCCTATACATGTCCCTTTTATTTCTTTCTCTTGCCTGATTGTTCTGGCTATAGTTTCAAATACTATATTGAACAGGAATGGTGAAAGTAGAGATCCTTGCCTTGTTCCTGATTTTAGAGGAACAGCTTTCAGCTTTTCCCTATTTAATATGATGTTGGTCATTGGTTTGTCAAAATTGGTTATTAGCAAATTGAGACAAGGTTCTTCTATATGTATTTTCTTCAGGGTGTTTGTCATGAATGGATGTTGGATTTCATCAAAGGCCTTTTCTGCATTTTTTTGAGATTATCAAGAGATTTTTGTCCTCGCTTTTGTTCATGTAATATATTACATTTATTGATTTTTGTGTATGTTCAGCCATTTTTGATGATGTGTGGCATTTTCTTTGCCAGTATCTTCTTGAGGATTTTTGCATCTACGTTCATTAAAGAGATTGGCTTGTAGTTCTTTTTGTTGGTTCCTTTTCTGGTTTTATAATCAGGGTAATGCTAGCTTTGAGAAATGACCTTCCTTTTCAATTTTATTAAACAGTTTGAGGAATACTGGCATTGGATCTTCCCTGAAGTTCTTGTAGAATTCAGCAGTAAATTCACTGGCACCTGGGCTTTTCTCAGTGTGTAGTTTCTTTTATTATTGGTTCAGTTTTGTTGCCTGTTATTGGATTATTCAGGATTTTTATATATTGGTTCAGTTTTGGTAATTCATATGTATCTAGGAATCTATTTTTTCTGAATTCTCCAATTTTTTTGAGTATAATTTCTTGATGTAGTTACTAATGATCTGAATTTCAGTGGTTTTTTGTGATTTTGCCTTTTTAATTTCTAATTGCATTGTTTTGGGTCTTTTTTCTTTTTTGCTAAGATTAGTAAAGAGTTTTAAAATTTTGTTTATTCTTTCAAAAAGAACTAGCTCTTTGATCCATTGATTCTTTGTATGATGTTTTACATCTCAATTTCTGCTCTGACCTTTATAATTTCCTTTGTACTACCTTTGGATTTGGATTGTTCTTTATTTTTCTAGGACCTTGATGTGCATCATTAAGTTATTTGGCATCATTCTCTTTTTCTGATGAAAACTAGTATCACTAATGTCAGCTCATTTTGGTGAACCTACTTTAGTATTTCTTATAATATTCTAATTGGTTTCATTGTCTACTGCCAGAAGTTGAGGTGCATTTTGCTAATCCGTCAGCACAGCCTTTGGCAAGAAATGCAAAAATGTCACCTGAAACATCCTCCCTCCCACAAAAAGGCCTGATGATTCCTGGGTTAGAACATGTACGCATTGAAGGACCAATAGCAGTAAGTAAAAGACATCACTTTAAGAACTAAGAGCAAAATGACAAGGTACTGGGAAGTGTAACCAGCCAAATATTTGGCTTTTGTTATAAGACTGAACTCAAACTTGTAATTCAATGTAATTGAGTCAGTAGATATCTTTGACACTTACTAAATGGACTTGGATTTAGATAGTTCCTTTTCTTAATTGACTTAGAATTTGTCAGCACTTGGAACAGAAGAGCTGCGACAACGAGAACAGTATCTCAAGCAGAAGAGAGATAAGTTGATGTCCATGAGAAAGGATATAAGAAGTAAGCAGATCCAAAATTCAGAAGAGAAAGGAAAACCTACTGGGGAGGTAGAGGTATGGCTAGCTTTTGTATGTCAAAATTTCCAAATAGAGGTAGATTTCTCAAAATCAAAATATGTACAAGAAAGCCTCTGAAATTTTGTTCACAGATCTACTCAGATTGGTAATGTGACAGCTGCTAGGTCTTTTCTGGATGAGTTGTGAAGATTTTGTGAGTTTTAGTTTGTTGTTTTTTAATCTTGTCTTGCTCTGAGTTCATAAAGGACAGTGACCTAGCATATGTGAAGCATGTAAAATGTTTTAAGTATACTATGTATATCTCAACTACTGGTATCACCTCCAAGGGGCTTTCTCAAGAAGAGATTTTAGAAAAAGAACCTAGTCTATGTCCAGCTATTTTTTTTTTTCTTCCCTGAATATGCCCTTAATCATTGACCTTGCTCTTCTGAGGCAGTATGTTGGGAATATTAGACAAAGGAATCCATTGAACTGTAGCCAATATATTTCTTTTCTCTTTTTGAAGGAAATGACAGAGAAGCCAGAAATGACAGCAGAGGAGAAGCAAACATTATTAAAGAGACGAATGCTTGCAGAGAAACTTAAAGAAGAAGTTATTAATAAGTAATTTAAAACAACTTAGCAAAAGTCCAAATTTTTTAAAAAATAAATAATTTAATCCTTAAACCAAGATTAGTTTCAAGTAAATATTCACTTTTGTAAATGTAAATAAGCTCATTATTACTATGTTAAACATTTGATGTGAAGAGTAGTGGGGAAAGCAGCTACTTTGTACTCATCAATTTAGTACAAATTTCTGGTGTTTTCTTGAGGAAAGAACAGCATCATTCTAACTTGGATACTTATTATTTGTGTCAGGCCACAATGTGTTATGTGCCAAGGATATAGCAGTCAACCAAATTAGTCTCTACCTTCACAGTGGTACAATAGTGCTACAAAAAGCAAACTATTAGAAAGGAAGTGCAGAATACTATAAGAGGGCTGGCTAGGCCTTCTTGAGCAAGTTATGTTTAAGCTGACTGGAAGGCATGAAAAGAATAGTTTAGGTCTTGCAGCAGGAAATACCACCACATATAACATACATAACTGAGGAATTAGGAGTATATATAGAATGAGTAGAGAGGGTTAGCATATAAAATTCAAGATTGAAGAGGTACTAATCATGCATTGTAAGAAATGTGAAAAAATTTAAATTTTATAATATGGATAGTGGGAGATTACATGATCACAATTATTTTCATTTGAAAAGATATGCAGCTGCTGTATGGACTAGTAGGTGGAATAGAATAGTTGTGGCTGTGTCAGGTATGAGGAAATCCAAAGAATAGATATCTTGGGCATTTATCATTACTTTTAAGGCGAGCCAATTTGGACTTGAGAAAATAGAGCAGATACTTTGAAAACACCAGGAACAATGGACTGTTAAGTACTGCTGGATCAGGGATTTAGCTCAGTGGTTCCTCCACCTGCTTTGCAAGCCAAAGGTCCCGAGTTCGCCCCTGGTAACAAAGAGAAGTACTGCTACTGGGTGTAGATCTTTTATAAGACCTTAGAATAATTTTCTGTAATCTGTTTAAAGATAACCAAAATATCCACTGTTGTTTCCACCAAAATTTCTACCTTTTTCTAGTTACAGGACAACCATGAAGTTTAATTTAGAATTTCATTTTATCCCCCTATAACTATAAAGTTAAAAAAGGATACCAAAACTAAACAAAATTTGCTTATTTTAGCTACACAGTTCCCAATGTTCAACTACAAAAATCCTAGTATTCTACATGTTGCATTTTTATCATTATGGACAAGAAAAACTAGTGATTAAAACACAGGAATGTTTCATGTAACTTTTTATTAAAAATAACATATTTGATATGTTCAGAAATACTTCAAGGGGACCTAAGGTATACAAATGTGTACTCTGGCTTGCTTTACTGAGTGATGAAAAGATACAAATATCCTGACCTGACCTGTCTGAGGGTAGTCATTCAAGACAGCAGCTAATGTGGAATCTTCATAGTTGTGCTTCTAAGGTATTTTTATTCTCATTGTGCATGAAAACTGCCATTCTGGATTTCAAGAAAACATTCAGATTTGTACTTTAAGAGTTCTTAGGATGATGAGAATGATTTAAAAGCTTAAGACTCATGACAGTTCTTCAGAATATTAAAGTCTTCATAAAGTCCAAATGTTGATACTTCCTACTGCGATTTAAAGTTAAAGAGTCAAGAGTAAACAGGAAAATGTTTTAGTCTAGACTGCTTAGATTAAGAAGGAATTTAGTAAGAGGTAAAAAGTAGCGGCTCGATAAAATTTGAAAGAAAGCATGATCATATAGCAACTTTACTGATGTTGGCTGAAAATACCTTGACTCACATGTTATTAGATGGAAGATTTTCATTATAGGTACACCTTAAAGAGGTAAGAATAATTTCACGCTGTCATGTTTTGGTGCTGAGATTTTATTCGCCCAAGGTTACCCTTTTGTAAGTCATCAACATCAATGGTATTTAAAGTGCAGTTAGCCTTATCTGTTTAGGACGATCTTTCAGATTGGTATATGACCTAGTGATTTATATAATAAATATTTATGGATAATTGTGACTTTTAAAAGATAATGTAAAATGGACATATCTCAAAACAGTTAACTCATATTTACAATAAAACAAACACAAACATTAATCATGGAATTACAGGGTCACATTTTAATTCCTGAATTTTACATTTCAGCATTAATATCACCACATGTATACAAATGGTGTAAAACAAGTACAGTGGTATTTTTAATACAAAATAAACATCTGTTTTATGGAAAAACTATACTTCATATCTACACAGACAGCCCATCTTTTCCAAACAATAGCCAAATGAAAATTAACTACAAAATCTCCAAAACAGGGGAAACTGCTTCAGTTTAAGCTATTCCAGGAGAAATGGACCCATAACACATTACAAATGTGATCTAAAGACTGTAGCTGGAATTACTATTTTTAGATTTTTTTTTTTTCTCAATGCATTAAATTGTAGTTTGGGGACATTTTTCTCATCTCAGCATGATCTCAGATCACAGATGAGCAAATTAACATTAAAATATTTACAGTTAACTGGCGGTTCTAAAAAATAAACTTAACTGTTTGCCTCAATTTGTTATTTTTAATTCATTTACATATATGGAATGTGCTTTTACTCTTAAAAAAGCAGCTTCTGTATTACACCCTTTGATGGAAAAGCTTAGTATGTCCACGTGGCTTTGACACTTAAGTAACTTCCTGGATCAAAATGGCTTTAGATATTAAATGGTGCTTGTATTCAGCACCACTTTTGTCTTTGTAAGTTTTACTTTAACATTTGCCTCCATTTCTGAATAGACACACAACTTTACCAATAAAGCAGCACGTGACTTCCAATTATACTCAAGATTGTACTGGTAGGTGGTTGAAAACTGTTCTACCCACTCCCAAGGTTTTTCTAAAGAGGATAATTTTGGAATTCCAATATACTGTTTCTTGGCCACTGTTATCTCTAAAAGTGCTGAGTTTAAAGTTATATTAACAAAACTATCCATTTTGAAAATCCAGCTTGTCTTTGTCAAAATACATATTGAAAATTCCTGGTGTAGAAAACTCAACATATGCTGTAATGCGGGATGTACTTCCCTTCAACAATCCAAAAGGCTGAATTTGTGAAATCCTCCAAGAAATGGTCCCAAATTTGTTGTCCATAAAAATTCATTTTAAAAAGAGGCAACTGTTTAAAACAACAACATGGCCAGCACCATTATACAAGTAATATTGTTGGATTTGGAACTGAAGTTTTATAAACTTTGCCTAGATTGGACACCCCCCGTGGAGCAACCTTGCATTATTCTATTACCAATGTTTTTCCTCTAGCAAACCGTCCTAAAACCTGAGACTTTCCAACGAGCTATCTCCCAGGCTCCAGTAACTTTTCTTTCTCTCCTTGATAGCCTGAAAGGCAAACCTCTTAATTACTAGCAATTAAGTTCCTGGGAAGCTTTTTTCTTTTTAAACAGAACTAAACTCTCCTAGCTGATATACAGAGGATCTTTTGCTACTCCTTGTGTATTTCTAAGTTCAAGTGAGAAGGCTTTCTGATTCAGATTTTTCAGCTGATGAAACAGATGCAGCAATTTAGTAAGACCACATGCTGGGGACCCCCAGTAAACATTTTATGAGCCCAGACGAGGTCTTTTCCTGGGGGATGTTTCTTCTTCTTCATCTTCCTCTTCATCATCTGGATAATCCACTAAGCCAATCAAACTTCCCTATTGAAGAATTAAAAAATGTTTTAAACACGTGTAACATTTTTAAAAAGTTTACTGTTACTAAGAAATATTAGAGTCCATTTTTCTAATTGCACATCTGAAATTAACACGTTTGAATTTAAGAAAGGAACTATTTAAAATTATGAACATTAACTGAGTACTAATTGGTGGCACTCAGCAACCCCAACTTTTTACATGTTTATCGCATTTTTAGTGAATCCTCAGAACTCAGCTCATTTTAGGAAAACTTCACTGTAGGAAAATGAGTATTTTCTCAAATAGTAACAAAATCATAACATTTAGGAGCTGCAAAGGACCTTGTAGATGACCTAGTTCACTTCTCTAATTTTATACTAACAAGTCTCTGTAGTCTCCATTCATGTATGTATTTCATCATTAAGTACACATTATTGTTTTCATTCTGCTCTTGAACAGTTTAAAAGGCTGAAAAAATGATAAAACACACGATCTGGTTCCTAAAAATCAATAAATAAAAATAAGGATGAGGTAATTCTGGATTTTGGCCTTTTATGAGTAATAGGCCCTTTGAAAATCCTGGACATGCTCCAGAAAACTGCAGATGTCCATAGGACTACATTCATTTTGATCCAATCTTAACAAACCTAACATATAACCTTAAGAGGTCTACTGTAAATACTGTATTTAGTTTATATTCTTAAGATCTCTAGGGGATAAACAAACCCAGTGAAGGAATGTATCCTCCATACAAAAGTAGGTTCATACATAAAGAACTATGGATCTGGCATAAACACTTTACCAGGATATAAGTGAAATGCTGTCATATTAATCAAAAAAGGCCTCTGAGCATCTACCACACCTTATCAGAAAGTCTGTGCACTAAACAAAACTTACATATGTGTGAGAATCTTTCTACATCTTGCTTGACTAAATCACACTTCTTAAGTCTGGATAAGAGGCAGTACAGCTAAATTTATGTTAAGAATATACTGACTATAGTTGGTGTGACTTCAAGTTACAATGCTACTATTTGATCTTGGGCAAGTGATTTAATATCTATATATCTTAGTTTCTACATCTATATAACTGGTTTAATAGTAGTGTTTAGATGTCATTGAACTATTTTGAAAATTAAATTGAAAACAAAGGATGTAAGCACTTTGGCACTGTACTAGGTATGTAGTGTATGTAGTTAAATGCTACTAATTGCCATTTCTGTTATTCACTGTTATTTGCTTACTAAGCCACACACACTGGCAGAGAAGAGAAAAAATTACAGTATTAAAAAGGCATCAATCTCATATCACAAAATGACAGTAGATTTCGAATAAAGCTTTAATTGTGTTTACCATTATATATCACAATGTACAGACATTTCAGTCCCAAATGGTTAATACTTTAAATGATTTCTTGCCTTAAGATTGTCTGAAAAATGCATCTACATAATTTTGAATTTTATTTATATTTTATATGTATATATACATCACAAATACACATTTAAAAATCATGTTTACAATAAAAGTAGAAATGTAAAGAGTTCAAAGTAAAAAGGCTTGTAGTAAGCTAAACAAGCCCTGTAAAGTTGATGGATTCCAGAGTTTTAATACATATGTAGGAATCTATTGTTTTAAATATCAGACTTGTTGGGGGGTGGTGATGGTACTGAGGATTGAACCCCAGGCAATTGTACTGAGCTATATATCTAAGGCTCTTTTTATTTACTTTTTAAAAAATTTTGAGACAGGATTTTGCTAAGTTGCTAAATTGCCCAGGCTGGGCTCAAACTTGTGATCATCCTGAGACAGCCTCCCAGAGCAGACTGTTAGTAGGTATAACTACCCATGTTCAATCATGTTCACTTAAAAATACATTATAGAATATTCCCATGATAGTAAAGTTGCATGTCATTCTTTTAAATTCTATTACATAGCAGGATATACTATCATACACTTAAAATTCTCTGTTGCATGTTTAGATTGTCTTTGTATTCTCTGATTTTGATAACAACCTTTTGTTTTTATTAATGAAACTGAGAACCATCTTTATACATGGACTATCATATGGATAAGATATGTGAAATTGGTAAGGTCCATATTTACAAATACATCTACAGTTGTACTGAAATTGATCTATAGTTTTCTTTTTTAGCACTGTTTTTTAAAGCATTACATTTACACATTTCATGTGCTTACATAGCCCACATACATAGTTTCTTTGGAGAAATTCAAATTCAAATCCTTTGCTCATTTAAAAACTAGGCTGTCATGCTGAAGTATGGGTTCTTTATATATTCCATATACCAGTTCCTATCTCACTTAGGATTTGCAAATATTTCCTTCCATTTTGTAGGATGTACAGTATTTCCCCTTTATAGTAGTATCCTCTGATACACAAGATTTTTAATTTTCAATAAATTTTTAATTTAGTTTTATTTTTTGTCACTCATGCTTTTGATATCAAAACCAAACCAAAACAAAACACCAAAAAAACAAAATATCACTGTGTAAACTAAGGTCATGGATATTTATTCCTGGTTGTTTTTTTTTTTAAATATTGTTAGGTCTTTTATCCATTTTGAGTTAAGTTTTGTACCTGGTATGGGCTGGGGGTTCAACATCATTCTTTTGCATGTGGATAATTAGTTTATAACATCACTTGTTGAAAAGACTTTTCTTAATGAATTGTCTGAGCACCCTTGTTGAAATCTCCAAGTTTTTCTTTCTCTGAGATGGGATCTTACTATGTTGCTGGGGGTGGCTTCAAATTCTTGGGCCCAAGTGATCCTCTTGTCTCAGCCTCCCAAGTAGCTGAAACTACAGGCTCATGTCTGTTTACTTACTTGTATTTTTTCATTCTACAAATGTGATGAAAATTTCCAATATGAAAGGATCAAAATAAATGACAATAAACTATAAAGAGATAATGAAAAATTTTTCTAAAACCAATAATATAAATTATACTCAAGTACTTTAGGTAAAAGATATTTTGGTATCTAATGGTGAAACTATAATTCATAATAATATAATGTAATACATTAATCTTAATGTATAATATAATGGAGTAATATATAATATTCATTATATTATTAGATCTAAGGGGATATAATTTAAAAAGTCATGCTTTACCCAGTGAAAATAAGGAATAGATCTTACTGAAATGAAATTTAAAACTTTTTAAAAAAATCAGCAACAATGTTAGTTTTGACTCTTCTAATTTTTGTAACAGAAAATTTCTTTCCCTTAACTGTATTGGCCAGTACCTCAGAATAATGGTTAGCTAATAGCAGTGACAGTGGCATCCTGTCTTGGTTCTAGTGTGCTTCTATTATTTCTTTACTACAAAACTAGCTTTTGGTATCTGACATATATATCATGTTAAGAAATTATCCATTTATTCCTATTTTACTGTTTACATTTGGAAATAATTATCAAAATCCTAAGTCCAGATCATATATAGAAATACCCATGTATGTAAAATGATGTAGAAGGTCACATATTGCTGTGATGCTTCTAATTCCAAGAAGGTGGAAACAACTTTAATGTCTATTAACAGGGGCTAAGTATAAAGATATATTCATTCTTTTGAATTCTATGCAGATTTATTTATTCTTTTTTTTTCAGATTTATTCTGATACTGAGAATTTGAAACCAGGGCTTTCACGTAAAGCTATATTCCCAGACCTCTTTTCATATTTTGAGACAGGGAGTCTTACTAATGACCTACATCCTCAGCTCTTTTTTCATTTTATATATATATATATATATTTTGGTACCAGGGATCGAACTCGGGTCCTTGCGCTTGTGCAGCAGGCGGCGAAACCACTGAGCTAAATCCCCAGCCCTTCATTTTATATTTTGAGGCAGGTCTCACTAAGTTGCTACATTGCCCAAGTTGGGCTCCAACTTGCAATCCTCCTGCCTTAGCCTCCCACAGTGCTGGGATTATAAATATGCACCACCACACCCAGTACAGACATTTTTAAATGTTCAGATATGGAAGTCCACCAAGACAAGCTTGTTACATGAAAAACCAAGACAAAGGGTTTTCTTTGTGTAGCGAAAAAAAAGTGTTTGCTTTAGCATCCACTAATGGCTTCTAATTCTGATTTTTTTACACTCCCCCCCATCCCACTTTTGTTATTGGTTATACAGATTAATGGGTTTCATTTTGGCATACTTCTACATACATTATACACTTTGATCACTTCATCCCCCGTCATCCTCCCCACTCCTAACCCTTAATATCACATTTGGGGGTTTTCAATGTGTATTATAAGTATTTTCTAATTGAAAATATGCTTGTTTTGTAGCTATACATTACTAAAGAAGTATTTTGTCTTCAGAGCATTCAGATCTTTAAAAATATCTTTTGTTTAATTTCATTAATAGTTAATGTCTTTCTAACCTTCAACTGTAGCAACTGACACTGATGATAAACTGACTAAACTTAAGGGGCCACTGGTGATAACTTGGCACCATTTAGGAATGTGGCCATAGTCTAAGAAGGTTGTGGGCATGTTAGTGCCTTATTTCTCTATACTTCTAACCTGCTTAGTTTCAAAAATTTTTTGTTTCTAATGATGGAGCAATTAATTTGTTTTCCAAACATCACTTTTTTCCTGGTTCTCCTAACCAACTAAAAACTCAAGGGAATATCACAGAAAAAAGAACAAGGAAACAAACAATAAGAGAGGAAAGTTAGGAAAATTTTAAGGTCAACCCAGCAAGCACCATCTAAACAGTAGTTTATAGTAAAAGACCAGAAAAAGTTCCAAAACTGAAGGACATGACTATTTAATTTCAGAATGTAGGATTAAAATTCCAAATGCTTTCAGAAGAAAATAAAATCACACAAAAAACATGAGGAATAAGAATGTCTGTAACTTCTTTGCAGCAGTAACTTCAAACTTCAGAGAAAATTACTGCCAGTATGGTTCTGCATTCAGTTAAATTTTCAGTCACGTGTGAGGTTAGAATAAAGACATTTTCATACCTGGATGGCCTCAAACATTACCTCTCATGGTATGGTTTTTTTTTTTGTTACTGGGGATCAAACTCAGGACCTTGTGCTTGTAAGGCAGGCATGGCACCACTGAGCTAAATCCCTGGCCTGTCATGGTATTCTTTTATCAAGAAATGAATGTTAACAAATGACACAGAAAACGACACAGAAAAGAAAAAGAGCAGCAATATATGATTCAGGGAATACGAAAAGGAGAGAAGCAAAATGAAGTCTTAGGATAATGGCAGAAGAACCCTCAAGACAAGAGCTATAGAGCAGGCCTTGAGAGCAACCAGTCTACATTAAAATACAAGGAGAGACTTCAAGAGAGATGTTTCTCAGGAGAATGAACACATGTGGAACTAATCTTAGAGATCCTAAAAAAATTAGTAGCAAGCACTTAACTACTGCAACAAATGAAAAAAGTGACAATATTTAGAAAAAGAGAAAAGTTATAAAAAATAACAGTATAGAAAAAATAATCATGATATTAAATTTTTTTTAAATTGTGATACAGGGAGGAGTAAAGGTGAAGATGTGATAAGGAGTATTCAATTCATGTGTGTATGTAAGAAAGCTAAATCTTCATTTACCATAATAAGGAATTAATGAATTATGTCTAAACTTGGTAAAACATTAGCATTAACATTCAGAAACGGAACAAACATGCCAGGTGTGGTGGTGCACCAGGTAATCCCAGTACTTAGAAGGCTGAGTCAGGAGGATTGACATCTTTATGGGGAAAAACAGAGGGCTGATTTTTTAAAAATATATTTGAAAATATGGGCTGGGGATTTAGCTCAGTGGTTTCACCGCCTGCTGTGCAAGCACAAGGACCTGAGTTCGATTCCCGGTACATATATATATATATATATATGTATGTATGTAACTTTGATGTAAAAAAAGAAAAGCTAAGATAAATGGAAAAAGTGTCAAGCTGTGATCTAAACACTATACATTTATTAAAAACAAAAAGCTTGTAAAGCAAGTGCTATTTTATCGCCATTTAAAATGGCACAGAAGGATTAAATAACTTACTCAAGGTCAAACAGCTAGAAAAGGACACAGCCAAGATTTGAATCATGGAATAAAATCCCATGACAAATATTCTTAAAATAATGACACAATATTACACTCAATTGTCCCCTCAGGAAGTGAAAATTAATTTTTAAAAATTCTATTTAATTAACAAAATGTGTTTTAAACAAAATCTCACTCAAAATGCTATGAGCTTTAATCAAAAACATACTTCATTATAATACTGAATAAAAATTCTCCATAGCTGTTAAACAGTAAGCTCAAGCTTTTATTTTCTGTTTAAAATGAAATACATTCCTTCAGTTATGTACTACTATATTATTTGCCATATGCTGTTACACTAACAATTGTCCTATATTTACTCATTTTTATTTTAAGCCACCCTTTGGGGAAAAAAAAAGTTTCATATATTGACAAATGTAAATAAACAAGAAAAAGTTTCATATAAAATGTAAACTTTATTAAAAAAAGTAGGTGAATTACCGAGGCCATGAGCAAGATGCCAGTGGCCATGGGTCCCTACAGACAGTCCCAGCCAAGCTGCTTCGACAGAGTGAAGGGTTTTGTGATGGGGTGATGGGTTGTGCTGTGGGGATGGTGGCTGAGGCACTCTTCGGCACCTTTTCCTGTCTCAGGATCAGAATTCGGAGTCAGGAGCTGATGGGCGGCACTGAGAAAACCTTAATGCAGAATGGCGGCAGCCTTGGCACATTCATGGCCATCTGAATGGGCATAAGATGCTAACCAGGGGAGTGGTTGCCTGCTGCATTTATACATTCCCATCCAGCCCCTGTACTATAATAAAAGTCTTTCCTTCTCAAAAAAAAAAGAAAAAAAGAAAAAAAGAAGTGTAAACAATAGGGAATATATTTGTCATGAGAATTAAAGACTAATATCCTTAGATACATTCACATTAAAAAAATAAAAACCAGATTTTAAAGGGCACTATGAACAGATAACATACAGAAGAGCAAATTCAATCTCTGTACTAATAAAGGAATATGAAACTGGGAAAGAGATTTATATATTCTCCCCTACCTCCCGGCAAATACAAAAGATAATTTTAACAACACTCACAAAGCTGCAGTGAGGCAGCACATTCACTCAGTGCCAATGGAAACATAAGCTAGTGTAGGCTTTCTTCTAGGGAGGAATTTGCTAAAAATGTGTGAAGGTATTTTACTACTAATCTAGTTAAGAAAATAATTTAAAATTCAACATTAGTATTCAGATAAGCAAAATATTAGAACCAACTTAAATGCTTAAAATACAACTGGGGGAGGGAAAAAAAAGATGCTTACATATATTGTGATATAGCTAAGAAAACTGAACATGAACATTTTAATAACAAATTATAATAATATAAAAACAGATAAAAAATGTGTTATAGAAGGATTTCAATTATGTGACAAATAAACCCTTGGACCTGAAGGAAAGTAAATAAAGCAAATGTGAGCCATCATGTTATGATGACAACATGTGTAGTATTTTTCTTCTTTGAAAGTATTTTGATTATCCAAATTATCTTCAGTAAGCATAAAATAATTTTACAGATAGAAAATGCACAGTCTGATTGTGTGTAGTGTTATTTCACATACCTTGGTGGCTGTTACTGATGTAGCCAAGTTTGTAGTTTTGGAAGAAGAACCATTAGAACTTGTGGGTGGTGTCTGAGCCACTACAGATTTACTGTTTGTACTGTTTGTTCCATTAGTAGCACTGGCAGAGTGGGAGAAAGTAAATTTGAAGCCACCAGAAGATGTCCTTTTGGGAAGGTTTTCCTTGTCTTCACTTTCTTTTGCTAAAGCAAAAGTAAAAATTTGAACCATTATCAGTTAAGTACTGCTAAATCAAATCTTCTCAAAGAACAATAAATAAAAAACTTATTGGCTTTGCTTTCTAAGAGCTAAAAGAGTACAAGATGGTTATTGTGATACATCTTTATTAGCCAGAATACTAGAAATCTATGTATTAGAACGAACCTCAAGAATCATGTAACAAAATCAGTGGTATAATTCTAAGGTACAATTCTACAGTGCTGTACCTAGTATTTACTTGTAAAGATTCATTAGCTATCCACCTCTTTCTTTTATTGTGTTCTGTTTACTGGGTCTACACTTCTTTACCCCTTGCTAATCTAATAAACTTTCCCACAGGTCAATATTTCAAATGCCTAAAGACAATGATCAAGTCTAGCGGTCTCTTAATCCCTGAATAGTCCACATTCCTTTATGTGCTTCTTTTATGGCATAACTGTCCAGTCCCTTTAATATCTGGTTACTTCCATTTTTGAGTACTATTCTTAAAGGCACAGCACTCAACACTGGATGCAGTACTTCAAGAATGGCTTTAATGGGCCAGGGATTTGGCTCAGTGGTTCCACTGCCTGCCTTGCAAGTACAAGGTCCTGAGTTTGATCCCCGGTACCAAAAAAAAAAAAAAAAAAAAGAAAAAGAAAAGAAAAAAAGAATGGCTTTACTGCTTCTAGCATTAGTGAGTCCAGTACATATAATGACTAACAAAAAAAGAATTTGTCTACAAAAAGGTTTCTGTTCTTTAGGACATTTTAATAGGCTATTTGCTCCCCTAAGGTGAAGCAAATAAACTTAAGGCACTAACCAGTGGGAAGGAGAGTAAAACTGGCAACAAGAATTTCAAGGAAAAAGTAATAAATCAATAAAATGAATTTTCTAATAAGAACTGCTTTCAGAAAATGTCACTTTTAAAGCAAGTTCAGGAAATGCTTTTGTCTTAAAACATGTAAATTTTGATTAAACATTTAAGTGAAATTTGCAGGACAATTCTTCAAAACTAAAATTCCTCAGGCCATAAAATTAAAGTGATTAAGATACTAGGTAAGATCTTACTTTTAAAAAACAAGTTAAATATATATGAAAGCCAGAAGTTTAACATTTTCTTATTATATCTTTATGCAACTTCTGTAACTATAAAATTTCAAAGAGTAAAGTTACTTCTTTAAGCTCAGTTTTCTGAGCTGTAAAAAGCAGAGGTGGAGGGCTCTAACAGGTTTTTATGGATCTATTGCCTTTATTATTCACTAGTACTAGAACTCTGCAATAGGTATAGTAATAGAAATAAAAATCTGTAGTGGGATTTTAGCATAGAAATTAAGCGAAGACTGTTCAGAGGTTAAAATATAAGTAGACAATGAAATTTCTAAATAGAAAATGAACAGCATCAAAAAAATGGAAAGGTTCAAGGAACCTTTTAAATATGAAAAGAACTCCCAGATTTTGAAAAAGCATTTAATTTAAACGGACGTTCTATGACTAGACCACAGCGACTGAATAATTTCTGTACTAAAAAACTCAGAATGTTAATACCTTTCTTAGTCTCCATAAACTTTTCAAAACTATCTGGAAAATCATCTTCTGTCTTAGATTTTTCAATTGGTGTCACAACTGATTTTCCTTCTTCCTCTTCATCTTCATTAAACCACATTTCTTCATCCTCTTCCAAGGCTTTTGTATCTCTGCGAAATCTGTTACTACGCAATATAGATGGTACACTGTAAGAAATATATCACAAATACTGAGTAATGATTTAAAGTTTATTACTGGGTTAAATTTGATAGAAAAAAATGTATAACTGAGAGGAACAGAAATAATTTTAATTTCGTATAAATTATATCTAAATCACCTCTTTATGATACAAGATGTAGACAGAATTCTCCAACATATTTTTTGCATGTTATAAAGTAAAGTAAAAACTCATCTTGAGTTATTATACAGAGTAGTAATTCATCCTATAATGGATCTGGGTTATGCATGACACTGTACCCATTACTTTGTGCTACTGCTATCTAGGCAGAGAAAGAAAATTCCTCTATAAATGTCACATGTAACATCTAAAGTATGTGGACAATTTTGTAGGCTATAAATGCAATATACTTAAACAATACCTGTTTAGTTTCTGATTTTGTCTGTCTCTTTCTTGCTCATATTTAGTCTTCAATCCTTTGAATGTCTGAACATATTCAATCGATTCAAGTGCTTTATAAAAATTTTCAACTATATGTGCAGTAAGAGACTTGATATCTTCCTGTATAAGCACAAAATTTACATTTCAAATACAATACAATGCTTGTTAGAAGAAAAATAAAATGATTTTTCTTATAGTTCCAAAGCTGATCCAAAAAATTTTTCAAAATCATCTTCCAAAAATAAATGTCCCAATTTCTTTCTACATGAGCTGGGACTCCACAGAAAACTTGGAAAAAAAGGAGCAATTCACCGAAGCCCTTTGCGGGGACTATAAAGAACATTTGAGAAGTCAACAGATTCAGTTTATGTCTATTATTTGTATTTACAAAGCACTTTAGAATTTAAGTTTTATTACACTCATTTTACAAAAATAAATTGAGGCTCCGAGAGAGGTTGGATGGTTTCATCAAGAACACACAGCTTGTTAGAGGGCAAATGTTAAAATCATTTTCAACAAACAGGTGTTAATGACTTTCTGTTTTAAGTTATCAAAATAGTAAGGTTAGTTTCCTTTGACATTATTACATATACAGATCTAATAAACTATTTGGAATTCTACTTGTCTACTCTTGCAGTGTTCCTAGTGTATATGGAACATAAGGATAAGTTTTGGGATTCAGTGCATTCAACATATATATATATATATTTATATATATATATTTATTTTTAGAGAAACATTCAATCATAGGAACAGGGATAGGGTTCTGAACCCTACATTTTATTTTATCATGTATAAAGTATCTCACCAAATTTTTAAAGGAAAAAAGTTCTGATTCATTGGAACAATATACTATGAACCTGAGTTAAGATATCTAGTGAGATGGTTGATTATGTTCTTCTTTTCTAAGAGAAAGACTATACTTCTATCCTCTTCATCCTTTCAAAAACCGTATTCTTGGCAAGTGACCACTCTTAGAAAAATTATCTAGTCAGCTAAACAATCGTCATATGAGAACAGCAAGTCATCAGTAGAAATCTGATTTAAAAAAAAACAGAACCCAAAATCTAAAACTAGAGAATTTCCAGTTTTGACTTTTTTTTCAAGTTCTTTCCAACTATATAGCCATTTCCTTGGTGGAATTAATTCTATGTGTATATGTGCAGGAGTGATAAATTTATTGTACTGTTTCTATAGTTATGTGTCTTATTCCAGTTTTTCATATACAGTTCTCTTCAGATTTTTTTTGGGGTACAGGGGATCGAACTCGGGACCTTGCGCTTGCGAGGCAGGCAGTGGAACCATTGAGCTGAATCCCCAGCCCTCTTCAGATCTTTTTATGACAAATGTTTTGTTGCCTGAAACTGAGCTCGGATACAGCTTCAAGTGCACACTGTATGGATGCTCATGAATAGTTCAATGAATCACTTCAGGTATCTTAATTTTCTCAATTGCAATATAAGGTAGTTGTACTAGTTCATCAAACTTCCTGGTCTCTTCAACTTTAAATTCCAGGATTTCATCCTACTTTTCATGTATCCTGTATCAATGACCACTGAATAAATTACTTTTCAATCTCTCTATTCATTTTTATAACTATTCCTGTAATAAACTAGCTTTTTAAAAGAGATCACACGAATAGCAAGCTTGTTCAAAATGTCCATATATGTTAAATCTGATGTTGAAACACTGGGGCAATATAAATGGAATTGAGAAAACTGAATAAATACAGGTTTAAAAATTGCTGCATTTCACACTTCAAAATTTTGGGCTGAGGCTGTGGCTCAGTGTTAGAGCACCTGCCTAGCAAGCATGAGAACCTGGATTTGACCTCTAGCACAGAACAAACAACAAAATAAGAAAACAGAAAACAAATCACTACATCATAACCCTGTGACAAATAAGAATATAAAAGTAACTCATTTAAAAAATTTTAGTTTATTGGAAATAGATTTTAAGGCACAGAATAAATTTCAGGAGAATAAGAATGCAGAAATTGTTTTGCTTAAATATAATTAATTTACTTTTACATATAATTACATATAGATAATTCTTTTATATGTAGTTACCAAGAGTTCTATAATATACTTACCACTCTTATAAACTCAAACAACTCAATGACTGCTGAATTCAACAGATTGTACCGAGTTCCATTATCCAGGAGAGCATTAATAACTGGCTCAAAAAGATTTCCCTTGGTGATGTAACGATTGTAAAATTCATCTTTAAGGCCAATTATCCGTCTCATAAAACGAAGAGCACCTAATTTAAAATACAGGAAATAAGGTGATGATCTTACTAATATTATTTTACAAATACTTTTGCCATAAAGCAATGTATTTGTTCTTCTCAAATATAAAGTAAAATTGTACACTGAAGAAAATTGTGCTTTGAGAAAATTAAGAGTTTATGGAAGGGAAGATAGCTTAAAACTCACACAAATCTGTAATCAGTGCTTAAACAATAGAAAAAAGAACTAGTATTTGGGAGATGAGTAAACTTCCAAGGTGGTCAGCTCTATGGCAAAGACAAGAAAAAATATACAAAATCTACAGAATACAATTTCTGGTTATATTTAGAGCAGAGTTGATGGATGCAGTGAATGCTGCTCAGAATAAGTGAGGACACAGGATGGGCATAGAAATGGTGTAGGCGCCCCAGATATTAAGGCTGCTGTGCCTCTCTGGCTTTGGCAACAGTTCTTCTCAATTTCCTGAAAATATTGTCAAAGGGGCTGCCAGTAACATAACAGATTTTAGAGACAAGATCTAACAATGTAATGTGTAGTACAGCTTTGTTGTTGTTTTGTTTTTTTGAGACAGGGTCTTGCTATGTAGTTCAGGGTGGCCTTCAACTCGCTAGCTTCAAAATTTTGATTTTTGCTGCCTCATACTTCTGAGTGCTAAGATTACAGGTATGTGTTACAATGCCTGGCTTAAAATCTCCACAATGGGGTTGCAATTCCTCTGTCCTGCTGCCAGGTGTCTCATTTGAATTTCATCTGATGTAAACAGTTAACCACTGGGAGTTTAAACTGCTCAATGGGAGAGTCACACATTGTATTACCAGTGGTACACATCTGGGGAATGTGTTTAAGGTTTTTGTTGCTGTTGTTTTGTTTCACTTTTCTACTGGAAGCCATAATTCCTTTCCCACTATTCTAGCTCCCCTTAGTATGGAAATCATTTGTGAACCAACACTACTTTTGCATTATAATGTCATCTGTTGTTTACCAATTCTGTATGAGCTATTTTGCCTTGGGAAAATATGCGGTGTGGTAAATCAGGTTATATTTATAAAAGAAGAAACTGGGTTGAGATGTGGCTCAGTGGCAGTGTGCTTGCCTAGCATGTGTGAGGCCTTGGGTTTGATCTCCAGCACCATGGCAAACAAAAACAACAAAAACCAACAACAAAAATACACACACACACACACACACACACACACAGTCAGCCAAGCATGACAGTACACAGCTGTAATCCAAGGCTAACCCAGGAAGATTGCTGCCAAGTTCAAGGTCAACCTAGACTACAGAGTAACTTTAAAACCAGCCTAGAATAGTGACCTGTTGCAAAACCAAAAACAAAACAAATAGAAAGGACAGAAGAGAAAAAATAGAGTAATGAGTAAATGGTATAATTTTGCTTTTTCACATTTTAGAATACTAAAAAAGAAATCTGTTTCTTAACTAGCTTTTCTAATTCTTATGGAACACACAGGAATTGTAATTTCGGTCCTTTAATTTTATATCTGCTGACCCTTTAACTTGTAGCTTTCCCGCTTAGTTTAATTTATTCTACAAATGCCATTAGTTAAGGCTTCTGACTTTTTAATGTCAATCTCTCAATTCAACCCTCTTTAATGGTGGAAGAAGTTATGCCTGTTAGAACAGGTTATAAATATTGTCTGAGAATAAAATAGAAATAGGCCACATAGGATAAAATGTATGTTAACTGGGCCAGGGATTTAGCTCAGTGGTTTCACCGCCTGCTGCGCAAGCGCAAGGACCTGAGTTCAATCCCCGGTACCAAAAAAAAAAAAAAAAGTATGTTAACTGTGACACCAAACAAGTGTGGGCAGAAGTACTAGACTTACAACATCACTGCTTTCTTTGTGGCAGGATGACAAATAGTTTACTTAGGATTGAAACAACTGAAGCATTAGGGTCGGGGATTTAGCTCAGTAGTGCTGCCATCTGCTTCACAAGTACAAGGTCCCGAGTTTGATTCCCGGTACAAAAAAAAAGAGACTGAAAACAACTGAAGCACTGACAAAAGTATGAGCAAACAGGCACTAATATACTGCTGGGAAATGAACTGATCTGCACACAAAGCTATGACTGTAAGAACACTGCTTATAATAATGGCAGTCCTAAAACAATATAAATATTTAAATAATGGAAATCCATTGGGTAATATCTATATTAATAGGGGTATTCTAGGATTATCAAAAAGGACTATTTAAAAAAAAACAGGAAAACCTATCATAGGAACATCAATTTTTAAAAAATTAATATACAAATATAATGTAATTCCAATCAAGATAAACAATAAAACTGTTTTAAAGGTTTTTGTAGAACAAATGTCTATGAAAACCAAGAAAATTATGAAAAGGAAGGGGATCAGTATATATTGAACCTTATATCAGAAATATTGCAACAGCATAAGAATAAACATTGCTGCCAGGCATGATTGCACATGTCTATAATATTAGCTACTCTGGAGGCTGAAGGAAGAGGATCACAAGTTTGAGTCCAGCCTGGGCAACTTAGTAAGACCCCATCTCAAAATGAAAAATAAAAGGGGGTAGTGGTGTAGCTCAACGCAGAGGCCTGGGTTGAATCTCTAGTACCCTCTGAAACAAACAACAAATATAAAGAAACAAACATTGCCATTATTTCACTTGCTGAGATTAAAGATCAGAGTCTAGAAATAAGATACATGTATATCTTTAACTTCATGCATAAGTGATATTTTAATTTTGTGGGGAAAATATGGTTTATTTAATAAGTGTTGGCACAGTTGGCTATCTAGCAAAGATAAAAGTAGATTATCCTTCAAACCATACCCAAATACAGATGTTATATTTTATATACAGATATAAGTAGGTGATTAAACAGGAAAAAAACTGAAGAGAATATTTATATCATCTTAAGCCACAGAAGTCCTAAGACAAAATACCCAAAGGCCATAAAAAGATAATAAATTATATTTGTCATAAAGCTGTATGAAAAATACCATAATTAAAGGCATAGAGGGACATTTCCCTCTAAAATATAAATTGTTAATATATCTAATATACAAAGAGCTTTAAGAAAAAGACCACAAGCAATTCACCATAGGTAAAAATGCAAATTACAGTACACTGTGAAAAGATGCTATCTATGAAAATGCAAATTAGAAAGAAAATGGAATACTACATTTTTCCATCATCAGATTTATGGCATTTATTTAAAAGTACTAATAGATGAAATATCTTGTCTTCAAAAGCTGGTGGGGGTGGAGGGGGTGTGTATCTGGTTTGCGCAGGGCAGGGATGTAGCTCAGTAGAATGGCCCTGGGTTCATTCTCCGGTACTGAGGAAAACAAAACTGGGTAGGGGAGGGAGAGAAAAGGAAAAAGTATCTATAACAGATCGCTAGGAGAATGTCAAGTATTTCAAGCTTTTGGGAAAGTCCTCTGGCAGCTATATGTTAAAACTCAGAAGGATGTATTAAAATATATAAAAGCAAACCACAATGTAGTTTGGAGTGGCAAAAAAGCAACAATAATCCTGCAACCTATTCACTGGACAATGGTACAAAAATCTGTGTAGTTATGTGATAAAATTATTAAATGATAATTCACTGGAGGACTGGTTCTACCAGTGAAATATTGTCATGAACATGGTATTGTACTACAACAAAAGGTAAGCTAAGTGAATTTAAATGTGAGCAATATATGACTAGGGAACCATTATAACCTAATCCTCTTGCCCTTAAAACAAAAACAAACACCAAACCCAAAACCAAGAGTGGGACTTCTCACAAGCATTTCAGATAGCATATCCTGCTAGGTAAGTACTGTAATTTCAAATATGTTGCTTTAACTTTTATCTCTACCAAAAATATTTCTTTTCTTTGAGACAGGGTTTCACTATGTAATCCAGGCTGACTTGAACTCACTATGTAACCAGGTTGGTCTACAACTCATTGGCCTTCTGTATCAGCTTCATGGGTACTGGGATGACAGACATGTGACACTATGCCCCGCTCTCAAAAATGTTTCTTAAAACACTTTGCAATCTTGTTCATTTAAATTGTTACTTACACAAAGCCAAGAAAGTGTGCTTGGAATTCATCAAGACCAAGACTCTTCTTAGTAAGTCCTTGTTCATAATATAGTTTTTTATGTGGTAAGTGTGATGTTCCACACAAAATGTGAGTAACTCTAAAATTAAAGCCAGTAGCTGTGCTGTTTGATAATTATCTACAAAAGAAAGTCATCTCATGAAAATACTGTAATACAACTAAACAGAATAAATAAAGCTTATACCCTATACCTCAGAGCAAAAGTTAAAACTATATTTCCACCATTTTCACATCAGTTAAAAAGGCTATAGATTTTTTACTTTTTAATTAGGCAAACTGGAAGTATTATCAGTTTTACCTACTAAATATTTTTTAAAGCTTTTATTTGAGTAAAAAACGTAGTACGAGAAAGAAAAACTCACTACTACATATATGATAACAAAATGGTAATGTTTCCTTGGTAAGTAATTACACTATTAATATTAATAAATGTATAAAAGAGCCTATAGTATAGGAAACACCTCACATTTTTGCCTAAAGTAGCTCAATGCAAATTTCTTAAAATAAATTAATATGCTTTCTTTTAACACATTTATAAGGAAAGGACATTTTGGATACTTGAATAGGAAGTGAAAATAAAACATTGAGATTTTTAAATAATTTTAAAAATAACTTATTAATTCACAAAGAGAGAGCCATTAAAATAAAGTAGCCCCCCCCAAGAGGCTTTGGTTTATACATTCATGAAATGATTCTGAATTGTTTCTTGAACATCAAATTTTAAATGTGTATCAAGGTGGATAATCATAATCACATTCTTATGAATGCTTTAAGCAAGGAAGTTAAACTGTGAGGAGATTATGGAATCATACACAGAATAGAAAAAAATCAACACCACCAGGTGTAAGTATTTTATTTAAACAAGATTATATTTTGTGGAACAAGGTTGCCTGCCATCAGGAATAAGCCAGCATTCTTTTTTTTTCTTTGGTACCGGAGATTGAACTCGGGACATTGTGCTTGTGAGGCAGATGGTGGCAGCACTACTGAGCTAAATTCCTGGCCCAGCATTCTTTTTAATAACAGAATGGCCATGAAATAAAATATAATTATGGTATTTCAAAGATTTTTTTCTACATTAAATGTGAATAGCTTTACTTGCTCCAGTCTAATCTGTATAACAGCAAGTACACACACCATAGTCAAATTTTGAACTAGTCCCATACCATTTTAAAAAATTATCACAATTTTTAATTCTCAAATTTTATTTGTAAAAGATCTTAAAATAATGATCTACAGTCTTAAATGTCTTGTTTTCACTGTCCTACACAAATTTTAGAAATTACTCATATCTCTAATCCAATCTCTGAACAGACTCCTGACTTGAAATTGGCTCTCCTGGAGCTTTGATGATCCGGGCAGGAGAGATGTAATGCTAAGTGAACAGAGCACATATATCTTCAACACTATGAGGCCCACACTGCTATGCATGTTCTAAGTAGGACAACAGAGTTTACTAGACTTAGGATTATACACAATAAGCATCCAAATGTCATAAAGTGTAGTTTCTAACTAGTTTTAGTTTATTAGATTTAAAAAAAATAAAAACTAAATCCTCAAAATAAGGTCATAAAACAAACTAATTTATAGAAAAAAAACCAAAAACAAATTCTGAGCAAAACAAGTAAACATGTTCTTGGATTTTGTTATTTTGAAAATATGTTTTACTTAGCCTTGTATAGTTGTATTATATTCTGAATAAGAAAAAGCTTATAATTAGCATTAGTTCAAAAATATGAATTTGTACTTACCAGGACAAATTGTGTTGTTTTTGTTCAATCCAACAAATTTATCTAACAACAAAAAAATTACAATAAAACAGTTTAGTAACATCTTACATTTCTCTAGTACTTAATAATATACAATACCCACCTTCAATCATACTCTTCTTTTACCCTCATAATGACCATTAAGAGTAGATTGTTTTACTCTGGGCATTGTGGTGCACGCCTGTAATACCAGCTCTCGGGACTGAGGCAAGAGGATCACCATGAGTTCGAGGCCAGCCTGAATTATAAAGCTAGACCCTGTCTCAAAAAACCGAAGGCGAAAAAAACCCCACCAAAACAACGACGACAACGACGACGACAACGACAACAAACTAAAGAGTTGGTTGCTTTGGTCAATATTAATACACCCACTTGTAATATTTTATAGAAGTGGGTACAGATGTGGAATTATTAAAATATAGTATATATAGTATTCTGATTTAAAAAGTGAGATTACAACCAGAGATAAGACTGGTAAATCTTTTATCTTCTATTCATCAACCAAAAGTCGGTATATCTGATTTGCATATTTTGAAAAGGAAAACAAGAATTTAAAAAATTTCAGAATAACAAAACTCTGAATAACATGTTCACGCTTTTTTAAATAAAATAAGTAGGGTATTTTCTATCATACACTCATACATACATATTTGTATAGAGAAATGTAGGAATATATACCAGAACATTATTATTATTATTATTTATGGTACCTGGGCTGGAACCCAAGAGCAGTCTACTATGCTACATTCCCAGTCTTTTCATTTATTTTGAGACAGGATCCTGGCCAAGGTTCCCAGGCTGGCCTCAAACCTGTGATCCTCCTGCCTCAACCTCCCAAGTAGCTGAGATTATGGGCTTATGCCACCAAACCAAGCTTGAGGATTATAATAACAAAAACCTAGAAACATATATATTAGAAGGAGAACGGCTAAATTACAATATACTCATGGAAGATAATACTATGAAAGAATTAAATAAGAATTCTGGGTTATCAATATGACTAGATCTCAAAAATAGCACTGGATAAAAGGAAAAATACAAAATAGTATGTATAGTAGATGTAAATTTATCAAATTTGAAAAACAGAAAATAGAAGAAAATAATACCACATTATATTCATCAAAATAACATAACTATACACACATATAGGAGTGGTGAACTCCAAATTCGGCATACTTTTGAGCAATGGGAGAGTGGGGATAGGATAAGAATTAGAATCTGAAGATGTATACAAAAACTCTAAGTATGTAATTTTGTTTCATTTAAAAACTCTGAAAAAAAAAAGAATGGCAAGTTAGTTTTTAGAAAGCCTACTTGGAATATATGAGCATATGTTAATATGTTTCTGTATGCTGAAGTGGTTTGAAAAGAACATTAAACATACATTATTTAATGTACATAAATGTAATCATTCTGCAATAAAATGGGATGTGTTTTGGTACCCATTCAACTTTTATTTTAGGGAACTGGGGATTGAACCCAGGGGATTCACACTGAGCTACATCCCCAGCGCTCTTTATTTTTGAGGCAGGGTCTTGCTAAGCTACCAAGGTTAGGCTTGAACTTGAAATCTTCCTGCCTCAGCCTCCCAGAGTGCTGGGATCCCAGGCATGACCCGCTAAGCTTTGTTTTAATTTTGTATTTCTGAGACTCAATTAGATGATATATTAAAATCTATTTTAATTATTTTAACTGCTATATACTATTTTTCTATTACATGAATATACCACACTTTATTTTTCTATCACAAACAATACAGTAACATTCTTATACCTTTCATGCATATGCACAAACACTTCTTGGGTATAAAATCAGAAAGAAATTGATGGCATTGTATAGGGTATGCCTATGTTACTACTTTATTAATTTTTTAAAAATTGCCCTGGCTTCCCCTTATTTGATTATCAACATTTTCAGATAGTAGCTAATGCTCTAGTATGCCCCCACATTTTTCTGGTTTCACTAATTTTCTTGTACACAGGGTATGAGCTGAAAATACAGTGAATGTTTAAATAAAAATTTTTTAAAGGTAAAAGAACATTGCCATTAATCCCACTCAAACTATTCCCTTCATTTCAAACACACTTATCCCATTGTTCTCACCACTTTCTGAAGCAGTTCTGAAAGTTTTCTTTAGGAATATCTTTAGTTGTACTGAGGTGGCTGGCTCAAGGTCCTGAATCAATTTGAAACATTTACCTTTCAGGGTCATTTTGAAGAGCCAGAAGTCCCATAATGCCAGATCTGGTGAATAAGATGGATGAACACACACTATAATGTTTTTATGAGCCTGTCTTTCCACTGGATGGCACTTGGCTGTAGCATTCACTACATAATTTTTAAAAATCACGCCTCATAAATAGGCACTCACAAAAGAGGAGCTGCAGATTTGCTTCAAAAGTTGCAAGAATGATAAGTGTTTGAAACACGGGGGAGTATTTTGAGGGGGGATCAATGGTAATATGTATTCTATTGTAATAAATTGCTTTATATTTAAACATTCACATATTTTTCAATCACCCCTTGTACTTATCAAAGTCTTTTTGAATGTATTATGGTAAAATGATAATTTAAATATTGCACACTGATGAAATTTAAGAGAGCTAAAATATCTATGGGTTAAGTTTAATATAGTAGAAATCCTCTAAAAAATTGCTGCCAAATTAGATATACACAAATATGAATACCTGAAAAACAGACTTAGAATCACTGTAAGATTCTGCACTCTATGACACTTCAAAAATATCTTTTAGATTTCTACTTCATTTTAATCAACTAAAACCAGTATTCACATCTTATAAATGTGTATGCAATTTATTCAACAAAGATAGTATGGAAATGCAATTAAAAATACACACTAAAAAAATCCTTTGTCTCTATATGTCATATGATTATGCATTTATAGATTAAGTTAAAATATTTAAATAAGCAGGTCTTAAGTAAGCAAATAGCTAAACCTAACTACTCCGGGGGCTGATTATAAGTTCAAGGGAAACCTGGGCAAGTAAAATGAGATCTTGTCTCAAAATAAAATAAAGTGCTAAAAATGTAGCTCAGTGCTCCCTCCTTCAGTTCAATGTCCAGCACGACTAAAAACTAAAAAAAAGAAGAAAAAAGAACAACAAAAAAGTTTATGTTTTGTTTTGCTTTTAAAAATCAGTATCTGCTCTAGTCAACTTTTTGACTGACCCATCTACTACCTGATCCTGATTCAAGGAAAAAAAGAGAGCTTTCTGGAACTGACAAACTGTTCTCCAAGAATAGTAAATTCTGTCATATGAAACATGAACAGTTTGTTTTACTGTTTTATCCCTTTTAAAAAACAGAAATTATAAGCAGTTAAACAAGAGTACCTACCCTTTTCACATTTGTCTTCTGAAGTATTGGTCAAAAGTGGTGCTGTGAGGACATGCATACAATGGTTGTAGAAGAAATTCAGAAACTCACTTTTTTCAGCTTTCTGAAACATACAGAATTTTGAAAAATTACCTTTGTAATTAAAATACGCTAAGAATTAGCAGTGTAGGGCTGGGCATTTAGCTCAGTGGTTTCGTCGCCTGCTGCGCAAGTGCTAGGACCCAAGCTCAATCCCCGGTACCAAAACAAAACAAAACAAAACAAAACAACAAAAAAAAAGAATTAGCAGTGCAGGTTATACATGAACAACCAATACTTTTAAGATACTATGAAAGAACCCAAAACTGGTAACATTCACATCATTCTTTTATCTGCAACATGAAAATCAATCTATTTCATATTATATAATAAAAATGAAAGCAAAAGGACAGTATTATAAAAAAATTTTCCACAAGAATTGAGAATAATTGTTTCTTCAAAGATGCCAGTGATTTAAAGAATGACTCAGTTTATTGTACATGATTATTCAATTAACAGCAATATATACTGCATATCTGAAAATTTTGAAGATTAGATTTTAAGTATTCTTTCCACAAATAAATGGTTAAGTATAAGGTGAAAACACCCAAATAACTTGAATTAGGACAGCATGCACTATAATCACCACTGCTGATCATTTGTTTCTCATTGTACATAGTACTGACGTTTTCCCAATATAACCAACAACTGTATAAAATTGTCATCCTTAAAAATAAGACTCAAAAGTTAAAAAACAAAAACACTTAAATATTTTCCCGAAGAAAAATATTTTAAAAAGGAAAAAAATAAGTCATATGATTAACTTAACTGCTTAAAATTTAGAACCTTACACTTCAGTATTTAATCTGAATTTCAAAAACTACTGAATCAATTATCAAGCCATTAGATGAAAAGATGAAATTTAGATCTGTTCTTTGAATTTTAAAAGTTTGTGTTTTTCACGCCAAAGATTGAAACTAGACCCATATCTTTCACCATGCACTAACTTAAAAATGAAATGGATCAAAGATCTAAATATTAAAACAGAAACACTAAATCTGCTGGAAGAGAGAATGGGTAGAATGCTTGAGGACACAGGAGTAGGGAATGACTTCATGAACAAAACCCAGACTGCAGAGGAAATACTACAAAGAATCAACAACTGGGACCTCATCTTATTAAAAAGCTTTTGCACAGAAAGAGAAACCAACAGAGTGAAGAGACAACCGACTACGTGGGAAAAATTTTTTACCAGCTAGTCAGATAAAGGACTATTATCTAGAATATATAAAGAACTCAAAAAAAAAAAAAAACTGATCCTGCCCCCCCAATTTAAAGACCCAATGCAGGGGCCAGGGATTTAGCTCAGTGGTTCTGCTGCCTGCCTCGCAAGCGCAAGGTCCTGAGTTCAATCCCTGGTACCAAAAAAAATAATAATAATAATAAAAAAAAAAAGACCCAATGCAAAAATGGGGATCTGAAATGAAAAGACACTTCTCAGAGGAAGAATTAAGAGATGCCAAATAAATATATGAAAAAATGTTCAACATCACTGGTCATTCGAGAGATGCAAATTAAAACAACGCTGAGATTCCAACTCACTCCACAAAGAATGGCTGCTATCAAGAAATCAATCAATAGGGGCTGGTGATTTAGCTCAGTGATTTCATGCAGGGACCTGAGTTTGATCCCTGGTACAACCCCCCCCCCCC